TTTAAAGAATTAACATAGCAAAGCCTACAGCGAATGAAGTTTGGGGACAACAAAAAAAATATATCCGGGTTAATGATGAAAGCTAATTTTTCCTTAAGAGATGAGAACTTTTTATATTACTTACACATGCTTATAACCCAAATATTTGTGAAAGACACTTTTACGACATTTTTATCTTGTCAGATTTGTTCATTGTCTGTCTGATTCAGTCTTAAACTGATACGGCTAACAGCTACACAGACTGACTGTATTTACACAACAGTGGCAAAGCACCTGCTAGTAGAGGTGTGACTGGGCGTGGCGCTTCCTGTTGATGTGGAGTCCATCCACAAATCACACACGCACACATTGCTTTGCACCCCATAAACACAACCATGCCTTAAAAATACACTCTTGACCCCCTTTAAAAACTAGCCCAGAATGCCATTTAATGTGAAAAACTAGTCTAGAACAGAATTCTCTGTTAAAAAACTAAGCTCCAAATAGATTCAAGAGAGAATAGTGATGCATTGCAGAATCCATTTCTGGAACAATTTTTCACCACAGCTCTTATTTTCATTTAATTGACATAAAATGCTAAAAATAAAAAAAATCCTTACTTGAATCCTAATCCTTACTGCACACACTTCAAAGGGAGGTCCTAAGAACAAAAAAAATCATAGACAACATCATATGATGTTTTAAAAGAGCTGATGCTGTGAGACTATAAAGAAGACAAGAGGTCAGCAGTGTGGGAGTTTTTCATCTTGAAAAAAAGATACACACAAGAATTGCAAGCAATAAAGACGTATGCGTTAGAAAGCTGATATGTTTCTTCTTATAAAAAACAATCCTGTGACATTTCATACAGAGTCATGCTGTATCAGAAAAAAAAGCTTTGATTCATTTGTTTGAGTTTGGATAAAACTTTATTGACTTTGTTGCTTTATATATGAATTATTTGAAAGTTGGCCATAGAAATGAATGTTAAAGAACAGCTATTTCCCCTCTTTTTTAAGATTTAAGACGAGTCTTTTGTGTCTCCAGAATGTGTCTGTAAAGTTTAAGCTCAAAACACCCATCAAATTATTAATGATACCTTTTTTTTAAATATTGAATTTCCTTCTCTGAACACAATGTAGCTGTGTTTGTTGCCTGTGCCTTTAATGTTAGTTCCCCTGTCAGAGTGTGCCTCAATCTCCGCCTTGGCTGTGTCAGATAACCAGCACAGTCACAGACATGAAGGAAGCAGATCTCATACATCGTTTGTGAGAAATACTACAGTAAGAACTTTTCCAATGATTATTTGATGTATTTGTTGTGGGGTTAATTTAAGCATTTCTGCAACGATGAGTCACACATAATGTCATTACAATGTTCGCACACATACAAAAGCGCACACGTTTAACTTCGCACAACAAATGCAAGATACACGTTAATATCCACTGCTGTATGGATATCCATTATGTTAATCTACAAAATAATCCAGATTTAATGTCCACAAACTGGGATAGAAGCGTCTTTGTGTATAATTGTACTGACATGCGGCTGTGGTAATAAAGATGATAAAATCAGTGCAACTCATTACAAACATGCACTGTTTTAAAAACCTTTAACTCACTCTTGGTCACATTTGATAATGATTGATGATCACAGAGTGCTAAATAGATCTTTTAATCCCAGTTGCTTTGTGTATCTTGTTGATATGATTATACATGTTACTACGGAGACATGTTCATACACTGCTGGCAATCAATTCGGTGGGTAGGAAAAACGCGCTCCTATGTCACGTTGCGTTGGGCCTCAAAATGGGAGGGATTTGGATCCTATTTAAAGGTCAGGAAATTTTAAACAAGAGACTTATTATCTTTATATCACTCCAATATGACTGTGGACACACTCTACCTGCACACAGTTCTGTCCAAACATTGCAAAAGATGACTTTCATCATGGGTGCCCTTTAATTCCTTATAAAACAGAAGTTGCTGAGAATTTTATTTCGGTTTGTTTATGTACTTCCAACTGAAATTAAATATTGAGTAGAGGCGGGACTTTCTTTTTGCGCATCAGTCCCTCATAGCAAATTAACGATAAGAGGGCCATGGCTAAGAACATTGGTGCTGATGCCGTAAAAACTAAAATTAACAGAAGGACCGCAACTCCAAACATGGATGCAAATGGTCAGACTTTGATTAAAGACTACCAAAACAAACTTTTTTTGTATATTAACTTGCTTAATTGACCACCTAAATGACCACCAATGTGCACTAGCAAAACAAACATTATAAATTTTAAAATAAAATCACTGTTTAATGTACGTTTTCATATTTTGTTTTTGCAGTCATGCATAAATTTGTGATAAAATATTATTTATCAGCCTATTTATCAGCCATAGGCCTTCAAGTATAACCCAAATTTAAATAGTCATCGGTCAAAAATGTTTTATCAGTGCAACCCTAGTTTATATATAGACAGTAACTTCATATTTTGATGTGAATCATGACTGTTGCTTTGGCTTAATGAAATGTACACAAGGATTAGGTTGCCATCGACTCCATATGAGCATCTCTAGGTTCATCTGTACCTGTCAATACTGATGAGAGTACATCAGCTTGGCCGTATATAGGTGCTGCTGATAGTGTTTGTTTGTGTGTGTGTGTGTGTGTGTGTGTGTGTGTGTGTGTGTGTGTGTGTGTGTGTGTGTGTGTGTGTGTGTGTGTGTGTGTGTGTGTGTGTGTGTGTGTTTATTGGAGTGTGTGAAAAAGAGAGAGGAGAGATTAACCCCATGCTATCCTCAATCCCTGGTTATGAGTTTACAGCGTCTGTCTGGGCATCGCACTGTTTAAACAACAATCTAATTAATCCTGTCTTTATTAGTTTCACGGAGCTGGGGAGGAGGGAGAGCGGGAGGACAGGGAATTCTGGCAGAAAATACCAAACGGCGAGGGAGAGGAGAGACGAGGAAAAAACAAGGGGTTTGCCGGGGATTGAGGAGCCAGAGAGCGCCTTTAAAAGCAATTGTGTGATGGTGATGAGCAAAAACACAGCTTATGGAGAGCAGGAGGTGTTTGTGGGCATTGCTAATGGGACACTCGTGAGCGCTTGCTCACATTTGTCCTGCAAGTATCTGAAACTGTATGGAGCCTGATCGGTCTCAAAAATAGCACATGTACAAAAAAAAATGTATACATCCACAACAAAATTCACATTTACAAAATCCAATTTGCAATTTCAAAACACGATTTGTGCATGCACAAATCTAATATATATATTCAAAACACGATTCAAAAATGCATAAATATAATTCATAAGTTTAAAACACAATTTGTAAATACACAAATCCAATTAATTTGGCGAAAAATGTAAGACTTTTACTTGTAAATTTACAAACTTTGTGTTGTATTTATGAATTGTGTTTTGAATTTACAACTTGGATTTTGTAAACGTGACTTGTGCTGTGCATGTATGAATTTTATTTCACAAATGTATTATTTTTGAGACTGATCAGGCTTCATAAAACTGTTAATTATTTTAGAAGTCTGTGAGTTGGTAAGTTAAAAATTTTTAGCTTTGTAATGAATGCTGGACAAGCTCATTGGTTCGGTTCACTGGTGGTGCTGGTAAAATGAACAGTGTAATTGCTGGATGAGGTCTGTAAAATGAAGAAATGCAATCAAAATTAATCATATACACCCTGACATGGAATAATGGTGAGATTGTTTTTGTTAATAATTTATTGAAAACTTTATTTATTTTCATTTATTTATTCTTTTAAAGGAAGTTTCCAAATTATTTTTATTGAGTTTCATATTTGACACTTCAGGCTTTTGTGGCTATTTAGTGTGATATAGGAAAATGTGAATATGTGTGCTATATAATTTTATACTTCAGTGTTATTTGAATCCCCAAAATTGACAAAAATATGGAATTTGGTGAATTTGCTGATATTTAGATGAACTAAAACTGATAATTCACATTTCTAGTATTTATTTCTATATTTTATAGTGTAAATCTTATATAAAATTTATTTGAATTGTCACTCTTTGTCTACTAATAATAGATATTTAACAATGCAATGCTTTTCATACCTTATGTTCAATTCTAAGATGTTTTTATTGAGTCCAAGGTAATAATGCAACATAAAATGGTTATTGAAAAATAAACAAAAGCCAGGTGTAGCAAAACTCAGTATATATTTAGATATTTGTAAATGCAACTTTGTTTAATTTTTCCATGAGGACTTGTTTGTCATTTCTCTGTTGTTTCCAGCTGAATAATAATATAAAATTACACGTTACTCTATGCAAATACAGAAAATTTCATAAAATATTTTTTAAGTGTAATAACAAAATAGCACTGAACTGTAAATTAAATACTAGAATTCTTCTTTAATGCAGAAAATATTTGTAAAAACATCAGGTATTTCACTGTATGATGAGTGAGTGTATGTAAAGATAACAATCATTGAAGAATAAACTAAAGCCAGATCTATCATATTTTAGTATATATTTTTCCATTCTTAAATGCAACTTTGTTCATTATTTCCGTGAGAACTTTCTTGATTCTGTTATTTCTCTGTTTTTTCTAGTTTAATAATAATATACAGTTACATGTTACTCTCTTCAAATATGGGAAATTCCATAAAAAAACTCACAAAAAGAAACCAAACAAGAGTGACAGAGTTCTGTCACAAGCTAAGAAATAAACATAACACAGAACCCTGACAATTGTGGCTTGTTTAAATTGTTTATTTAAAATAAGCAACACAACTCTTAAATGTTTTTGGGGGGCAACTTAAATGTTTTGTGTTCAATGCACTTAACTTAATCGATTTGTGTTGAGACAATTGTATAGAACCAATCATTTTGTACATTGTAATAAATGTGTGTAATGTTGTTGTTGGTGTGACATTTAGTCTATTGTCAAATATTGCCACCCAGTGTTACACACAAAACACTGCATTAAGCCAACATCCAGGATCAGAATCATTGAATAACTGTGTGTGTGTGTTTGTGTGTCAGGTTGTTTGTGCGTAAGTGCAGCGCGTGTCTGCAGGCGATCGGCCGCTCAGAGCTCATCATGCGAGTGTTGGGACAGGTGTATCACCTGGGCTGCTTCAGCTGCTGCGAGTGTGAGCGCCGCCTGCAGAGAGGAGATGAGTTTGTGCTGAAGGAGGGACAGCTGCTCTGCAGAGGAGACTACGAGAAGGAGAGAGAGATGCTGGCCGCCATCAGCCCGGCACCCACAGAGTCAGGTAAAACTCACTGAACGCACAGAAGAGCTGGAAGATGGACACTACTGATCAAAGAGAATCTTTAAAAGAAGTATTTATTTGATCAGAAATACTGTAAAAACTGTCAAAATGTCAGGTAAACCTCACTGACCACTCGAGAGACTTACGCATAGTCAGACAGACAGACTGATAGACAGACAGGCAGACAGACAGACAGAGAGACAGACAGAAAGATAGATAGATGGATAGATAGATAGATAGATAGATAGATAGATAGATAGATAGATAGATAGATAGATAGATAGATAGATAGATAGATAGATAGATAGATAGATAGATAGATAGATAGATAGATAGATAGATAGATAGATAGACATAAATAGGTAGACAGACAGACAGACAGATAGACACCTGAACAGACACACATACATAACAATAGATAGATAGATGATAGATAGATAGATAGATAGATAGATAGATAGATAGATAGATAGATAGATAGATAGATAGATAGATAGATAGATAGATAGATAGATAGATAGATAGATAGATAGATAGATAGATAGATAGATAGACATAAATAGGTAGACAGACAGACAGACAGATAGACACCTGAACAGACACACATACATAACAATAGATAGATAGATGATAGATAGATAGATAGATAGATAGATAGATAGATAGATAGATAGATAGATAGATAGATAGATAGATAGATAGATAGATAGATAGATAGATAGATAGATAGATAGATAGATAGATAGATAGATAGATAGATAGATAGATAGATGGACGGACGGACGGACGGACGGACGGACGGACGGACGGACAGACAGACAGACAGATAAGGCTCACTGACCATACAAAAGCTGAAAGATGGACACTACTGATCAGATATTAAATGTTTTGTTTTTTAAGTCTTAATACTCTCGTGCATTTAATCAAAATACAGTAAAACGTTGTAAAATATGTGCAATAATAATAGCTGTTTTAATATTACAGTTTTTCTCGGACGCTTTGGTGCATTTCTCACAACAAATATTTACATTTGCACAACAGTTAATGCAAACTGCAAAACAATTAGTACAAACTGCAAAACCTAGCTGATAACCTGCAAAAGCACGTCACTTGCTCAAAATAGATAGTTCATTCCTCAAAACCAAGTATTTATGTCAATCAAAGTGTCAGTGTCATCAAAATGAAAAGTCCTGACACCATTGTTTATGAACAAGAAAGTGGCGTTGTCATGTTTTCATTATGACAGTTTACTCTGGACATTTTTTCAATAAAAAAAAGTCAGATTTTAGTGACACTTGCTGAAAATACTCAAGACAGCACTGTATACTATTTGCACAGCCATTTGAACACTACAGTAAAGTTAGACATCACTGCATTAGTGAGGTATCTGAGTACAAGACACTGAATATGTATGTTTTACATTTTTACTGCATTTGCTCTTTACAATTCTAATTTATTCACAGCATTGTGCAAAAGAATAAACATTCTCTTATTTACAACAAACATAAACTTTCTTTGTGTAGAGCTGTGCACAGCTGCACACAATATTGCAGTACATATTGGAACTGAGCCTACAACATACACAGGTCTGTAAATCAGTCATCAAATTGTTCAATTTTTAAGACATTTTCAGGAAAATAAAAATTTATAATTTTTTTATAAAATTTGCTTGACAGATTTGGACAATTAGTTCAAGATTTGTGTATGTAATGACTCAATTAATGAAATGAGGACTATTAGTTTTAAATGGACTGACTATTCAGCATTCACAAGTTTAGTTAATTTTGACTGACATGACATAAGCAAATGATAATGTTCTAAACAGCAGAGAGTTGCATGAAAGCAATTGATGCATGTCCAAAAGCATTTGCAATGTGTTGGAAGGAATGAGAAACTGCTACTATGATGTGCACAAATGACTAATTGTTTTGAGAAATGCATTAACTGTTGTGCAAATGTAAATAGTGTTGTGAGAAATGCACCAAAGCGACTGAGAAAAACTGTAAATGCAGTTTAATTCCTGTGATTTAGAGTAGATTTTTGGCATTATTACTCTAGTGTCTTTAGATCTTTCAGAAATCAGTGTAATATGATGATTTGCTTTTCTGTCAAAATAAATTATTACTGGTTCTCAATCCATAATATTGATGCTCGTAATTATGAATGCTGAAAACATTTTCCAGATTCACATTTTCATGGAAACTTTTTTTGATTCTTTGATGACAACATTTATTTAACACAAAATCTTTTTACACTGTTAATGATATTTGTAAATGGCACCGTATTTAACTGTAATATAAACTGTATTTTACTGTAGGTCAGTTTAATAAATAATAAAGTAAATGTAAACACAGTATTTTTGCTGTAATTGATTTAGAGTAAGTTACTGTAGATTCTACAGGAAAAAAGTTGACAGTGTATATAGACCCTTTTCACATATCCAGGTTTCTCAGTAGCAGAAGGTGTTAAAGTTGGGCAACAAAAATGTTTTTACAATCCTATTTGCTGAAATAATAGTAATAATAAAAAAAAACTCCATGATGATGTTATCAAGATGTTCAGCAAAAAGGAGAAAAAAAAGTGTGAGACTAATGACGGCAGCTAGAGGAGAGAATAGCATCAAATTTACTCTCAGCCCCAAAGATGCACAGCTGCATTAGAAATACCTTGCATAAGCAGTTATTAATTATTTTATAATGATATAATACATACATAAATACATATACATGTTCATATGTTTTTTTTTATCAAAATATTAAAATCTTTCAAAGATTTAAGATTATGATGACTGTTAAATGCGTAACAGGCTTTTAAAAGTGTCCATTCTAAATGTCTTTCGTGAATAAAAGTAAATACATTTGTAATGAGACTTTTTCAATGATGTTGTTTAAATCTAAAGCAGCTCAGTAGTTTTCAGCAATTAACAATATTAAATTACTAATTAGCTTATTATTAATAGATATTTCTTGAGCAGCAGATCATTGTAATATAATGATTTCTGAAGGATCATGTGATGCAACAGACTGGAGAGATATCATGAGGAAAAGTCAATTTTAAATTACAGGAACTAATTACATTTTCAATGTATATTCAATAAGAAAACAGACAAAAGCGCAGGGCGCAATTGCATTAAGGGTTTGTCAGAATCCACTTTTACTATTTTAGGGAAAGGAAAATCCACTGTGCGCCGTGGCGCATGGTCTAACAGGGTTGAGCTTATTTTAGAATAAACCAGGGGTCGGCAACCCAAAATGTTGAAAGAGCCATATTGGACCAAAAAAAAACAAAAACAAATATGTCTGGAGCCGCAAAAAATTAAAAGCCTTATATAAGCCTTATAATGATGGCAACACATGCTGTATGTATTTATATTAGCTATATTAGCCTACTATAAAAATGACTTCGCTGGCTACAAATACATACTGAGCCTTCATGATTAAATGTTCATTTCCCTGCAGTGCATCCTGTAGAGAATGACGCGCCACGTGACTACTCTGTTGTACAATGCCGTCTCAAGTTTAACTTAATTACAGTATATTAATGAATTATGTTTAATGTTCAAGTTTAACTTCATTACAATATTAATGCATTATGATTAATTATCAAGTTTAACTTCATTACAATATTAATGCATTATGCTTAATTAACAAGTTTAACTTCATTACAATATTAATGAATTGTTTAATGATCAAGTTTAACTTCATTACAATATTAATGCATTATGTTTAATATTCAAGTTTAACTTCATTACAATATTAATGCATTATGTTTAATGATCAAGTTTAACTTCATTACAATATTAATGCATTATGCTTAATGTTCAAGTTTAACTTCATTACAATATTAATGCATTATGCTTAATTATCAAGTTTAACTTCATTACAATATTAATGAATTGTTTAATGATCAAGTTTAACTTCATTACAATATTAATGCATTATGTTTAATATTCAAGTTTAACTTCATTACAATATTAATGCATTATGTTTAATTATCAAGTTTAACTTCATTACAATATTAATGCATTATGCTTAATTATCAAGTTTAACTTCATTACAATATTAATGAATTATGTTTAATTATCCAGTTTATCTTCATTACAATATTAATGAATTATATTTAATTATCAAGTTTAACTTCATTACAATATTAATGCATTATGCTTAATTATTAAGTTTAACTTCATTACAAAATTTATGAATTATGTTTAATTATCAAGTATAACTTCATTACAATATTAATGCATTATGTTTAATTATCAAGTTTAACTTCATTACAATATTAATGCATTATGTTTTGCTTTGATGAAATTAAAGAAATGCAATAAAGAAATCAGATTTTTCTATGTTTTTTTTTTAATTTTGAGGATTCCAAAAAACAACATCAAAATTAACGTGCACAACGTGCCCCTTATCTGGGCAACAAACAGTGCAATAAAACGCAGTCTGCCATTTCCATTTAAAGATCAGCTCGAGTCATTCTTGGGAATGTGCTCAACCAACACAATCTCACGGCAATTCGTAACTTTTTCATTTAGTGGCTAATTCGTATGAATTCGTACGATCTAATTCGTACAATTTAGTACGATTTGCTTTTCCCCCAATGACGGTTGGGGTTAGGGGTTTGCATATCAACGATCGCACCTTGTAAATAATTACCGTTGAGTGAGGGATCGGGATGGGCTTCTTAGAATTCTCTCAGGGAGGGAAAATGAGAAAGCGTGCCCCGCTGTACATCTTTGGCAAAGACAGCTTGCGCTCCATGGCGCACCAAACAGCCGCCGGTTTGTTTACAACAGCTACCTGCCTGGCATCCCGCCCTGCTGATAGAAACGTGTGTCGCAGGCTATGATGCAAATCTTTGTTGACAGAAATGTTGAAATTAAATATTCTACACACTTTTACAGCATTGGAAAACGTTAAGATTGTTTGTCCTCCTATAGAAACCATATTAAAACAAAAAATATATTTTCCTCCCTCATCGTTTTCCATTTTCAAACATTTTTTGAAAAAGTTCCAGGGAGCCACTAGGGCAGCGCTAAAGAGCCGCATGCGGCTCTAGAGCCGCGGGTTGCCGACCCCTGGAATAAACCAATCAGAGTCTAATCTCCCATTCCCTTTAAGAGACAGTTGTGTCGCGCTATGGCACATTTGCTATTTACATGACGGTCATAGTAACTAAAGATTTTTTTTCAAAACTATTTCTAAATTCAGTTATAATTTCCAGCAGACGAAAAAATGAACAATAATAATGAAGTGTGGTCAAAAACCAAATTATATCCAAATACACATGCTATGTCTCATTTGGTCTGAAACCTGACAGGTGGGCAAATCTAAGCTTGTTTTAATTAAACAAAAATAAATATGCATAAAATAAATACCACTGCTACTACCAATAGCATCATAGAAAAGCAAATGGTTATGAATAAACTGAAAAAGCCTCTCGAGATGAAGAAGACATGACTTATTATATCCTATATATCCTTAATATTTTTATAATTTTTTATTTGTAAAGATATTTGTGTATTGCTGTACATCCTGTGTGTATTAAGCAATGTGTAAGCGAGGCACACAACTTACGCGCTCTGTGCTGGACTTTAGACCGGCTTTGTTCTGGTCTATAGAACAGTGTAATATAGTTTCTCAACATAGCAAGGCGCCTCAACACGCCTCCTTTTTTAGACTGGAACATCTATGTGCGCACATATGAGCGCAAATGCATTTGCTTTTTAAACAGCGTTGCGCAAAACGTCTAAACGACTCTTGCACCAAGCTGAAACTAGCAAACAACAATTGTATCGTGCTTTTCGCCGGGTGTATGGTAGGGCCCTAAATGTTCACCTAAAGAATAGCAATGTGCGCTATAAAAATTAAGATTGTACATTTAGATTTTACACAGACTTTACAAACATTTAAAAATTTTAGTTTCCACTCTTCTTCTCAAAGCTTTAAAGGGCACATCGTTTACCCCTTTTTTATAATTTAATATTAATATTATGGTTCTTCTGAGTGTGCCAGTTTAAGTTCAGTTAAACACACAATTCAGATGTTTTTATTATAATGTGTAAAAAGTGTCATGTTGGGGGCGTTTACACAGGTCGCTGTTTTAAAATTAGCTGAAAATTAGTTTCGCCTTCCCGCCCAATGTAACAAGGGGGTGGAGCCAAGAGCTCCCCCGCTCTGTGTTTGCAACAGACAGGCAGACAGAGAGAAGCTAAGCTACATGAGAGGATCAGCATTCAGCCGTACATATGCGACTCGGACACAGACCAAGAAGAGAGTACAAAATCATTTGTGTGTTTGCATAGTTTTACAGCCAACAATGTGCTAGTTTCAAGTGCAGAGCTTGTACACCGAGACTTATAACCATGCACACTGAATTAACTTTGACTGAGGCACCGGATTTGCCGCTCGTAGTATGACATGGCTCGACATGGCACACCAGACACTTTCTGTGGTGCGCCAGAAACATGAAGTGTCCTGAATCGTCGTGTCTTGAAGACTTGAATCATCAAGTCTTAAAGCGCTGTCATGTGCACCCTGATAGAAACCTATGTTTAGAATTCTAAAATGCATGGCCCTGCGCCACGCAAAGCGACGTTTCTGGTGTGCGACCTGCAGGCAAGTTTGTTATTTTATTTCCAATGGAGAGGTGCGCACATGAGGCACTTGCACTTTTCCTGCTGCACCTAGTTAAGATCACAGGGAGCTTCTGTGATCGCGAAAAATGCAAACGGCTGTTTAACCGGCAATTTTAAGGTAGACGCAATGAAAAGTACTTGTTTACAAACCTTCCAAAAGGTACAACCAATAATTCCTATTAGAGCGATAATGTGGAGAATATTGATCTTGTGTTGAGCCCAGTGAGCCTTACATCTAAAAACAGAACAAGGGTGTTCCTTTAGTGATATCGCTTAGACTCGCATGACAAACGACAAACTAAGGATATGGTGACGCGCCTGTCAATCAATATTGGTGGGCAGGGGGGATCGCACTCCTACGTCATGTTGCAGTCCCTCTGAATTCAATTGGTACACCGTTTTTATGTTGTTAAATTGAAAAAAAAGGACTGGGTGTGTTTAAATCACCCTAATATGACAGTCTATACACTATACCTACACACATCTGTCCAAACAGCTTGAAAAAAATCGATTTTTCACCATAAGTCCCCTTTAATCTATTTTTTTTTCCCTGTGCAGTAAAGAGTGAGGATGAGGAGGGTGGTGGTGTCTCTGTCGGAGGAAAGGCTGGGGATGATGGAAAGGAGCACAAGAGATCCAAGAGGCCCCGGACCATCCTGACCACACAACAGCGGCGCGCCTTCAAGGCTTCCTTCGAAGTGTCTTCCAAACCCTGCCGAAAGGTCAGTGATGGTCAGAGGGCATCTGTGCTGGTTTTATTTGTGAGATTGGGACTTATCTGATGTATATACGCTGTGTCTGCAGGTCAGAGAAACTCTGGCAGCTGAGACTGGACTGACGGTCAGGGTCGTGCAGGTGTGGTTCCAGAATCAGAGGGCAAAGGTGAGCTGGCATCATGATTTATGTCTAAGATTTAGATTGTGGTTTGGCAGATCATTCTTATGCAGTGACCCATTCTTATGAGTGAGGGAGGGAGGGAGGGAGGGAGGGAGTGAGTGAGTGAGTGAGTGAGTGAGTGAGTGAGTGAGTGAGTGAGTGAGTGAGTGAGTGAGTGAGTGAGGGAGGGAGGGAGGGAGGGAGTGAATGAGGGAGGGAGGGAGTGAATGAGGGAGGGAGGGAGGGAGTGAGTGAGGGAGGGAGGGAGTGAGTGAGTGAGTGAGTGAGTGAGTGAGTGACTAAAAATCAAATAACCTTTTGTTAAATGTACATTGTTAACAAGAACCTTGTATAAAACAGACAGAAGGATAGATAGACTGACAAATGGACAGACTGATAGATAGGCAGACACGAGGACAGATAGACAGATAGCTAAACAGACAAACAGAAGGAAAGACAGACAGAGACAGACTGATGGACGGACAGACAGAAAGAAAAACAGATAGACATAGAAAGGTAGACATATTAACAGACAGACAGAAGGATAGACAGACAGACAGACAGGCAGATTGATAGACAGACAGAAAGGTAGACAGACATGTTAATGGACAGACAGACTGACAGATTGATAGACAGACAGACAGACAAACAGACAGATAGACAGATTGATGGACAGACAGAAAGGTAGACAGACATCTTAATTGACAGACAGAAAGACAGATTGATAGACAAACAGACAGACAGACAGACAGACAGAAGGATAGACTGACAGACAAATGGATAGACAGATGGACAGGCAAAACAATGTATAGACACACAGACAGAAAGATAGAAAGACAAACAAAAACATAGACAAGAACACAGTCCCTTTTTAATATCTCCACAATCAATACTAGACAGGCCCCTTACTTCTGATTGGCTGCAAGTATGTTCTGGGTAGCGATCTGACACTCTGCTCAATACTGTTCTTCAAACATCACTTAAGACATACTAGTCACACTATGCTATCCTAACCATGCACAGGCCCGTTTCCCGGATCGTTGAGAAGTGTGAGTGCAAGCGTGCTTTGGCCCGGTTCAAGGCAACTGTACATAGTGCGAGTATGCCCTCAGTGTACTCTTAATTAGCATTTAACAGCACTGCACCTTCTGACCTCAAGCGATTGAATTGTTGTCAGTGTGAAGTTGAACAGACCTAGGCTAATTGGTACATGAGTATTAGATGTGAGTGCTGATCCAGGAGCAGCTGATGGCATTAGTCTGTTGTTCAGATGAAGAAGATCGCCCGCAGACAGCAGCAGCAACAGCAGCAGCAAGAACAGGAGCAGATGGGGGGCTCCAGACGGGGCCCGAGCAGAGGGGGGCGCCAGAGTAACGACGACAGCGAGGGTAAGACACACACAACTAAGGACAACTGTGTGAAAAGTGCGCATGAACCAAAAGCTGTGTGGTTGTTTTTCATGTTGTGACATAGTTCAACTAAACATCATGAGAAAACAGTGGGCGTGGCTTGTTTTTTTACTGCAAGCTGATTGGATATAGTGAAGTTGGCATTTCATTCAGAAAGAAGGGTTTTTGGAGAGTTATTACAACCTCTCAGACCATTTCTGACTAAACTGACAGTTGGAGGGGCCAAAGACAATAGAATACACAAGACGTATTGTATAGGTTTAAATGGGGGAAAGAAGTAGCAAATTATGCCCCACCATCTAGTACAGGAGACAATTATCGATTGCTATAGACTGATGGTTTTCCGGTGGAGAGACTTGGACCAGAAATTAGTTTCTGTAGGTTTTGTGTGATTTGAACGTTTAGAAATGTAATTTAAGAGACAGCTGTTGTTTAATTTTATTGGTGATTCCTAATGTAAAGCAATTTTGGAGAATTTGATGTTTCCCCATTCAAGCAGAAACACTCGGAGAAACACTCGGAGGTGTTTCAAAGATGCCTGCCAAGTGAAATGACTCAAGTAGGTATCGCTGCAGCCTGGAACCTCCGAGTGGGAGGCATTACACCGCAAATAAGTTGGGTGACTTTCAGTAGGTTGGGTTTAGGTGGTGTAGGTGGAGCAGATATTAATAAAGCACATCACGATACTGTGAAGTTGGGTTTGGGGTTGGGGTAGGAGTAGAAATTCATAAATCACAATATTGGATTCCATGTCATGTACAAGACATTAAATAAATAAAAACTCCAGGTTTGTACAGCCCACTTGAAGCTTGAAGGTTCACCCACTTGGAGCTCAATTTCCGCAAACCTGAAGCTGCTTCCAACCTCCATTTATACCAGGGATGTCAAACTCAATTGCTGGATGGCCACAGCCGTGCACAGTTTTGTTCCAACCCTGCTCCAACACTTACCTGTAGGTTTCAAACAAGCCTTAAGGATGCAATTAGTTTAATTAGGGTTGGAACTAAACTGTGCAGGGCTGCGGTCCTCCAGGAATTGAGTTTGACATGCCTGGTTTATACCCTTCTCTAATGATTTGCCTTAAAGTAGGCATGTCCAAACTTGGTCCTGGAGGGCCGGTGTACTGCAAAGTTTAGTTCCAACCCCAATCAGACTCACCTGGGGTCCGTTTTTCGTACCTCGCTTAAATTATCTAAGATGATTTGGCAGATCATGGATCTTTTAATCTTGATAACTGATCTCTGGCTAATTTGGTCCTTCAAACAAGTTCGTGAATTAGATTATAATGTCTGGATAAACTGATCTGAGATCGCTGCTTGTGTTGGAAGGACAGATCTGTCGATCCTCGAAATTATATTTAGCAATGCAATGATTGGCTGACGGCACAGCAGCGTAATGACATCATCTGACTAATATTCAACAATCCATGTAAGCAAAATTACATAAAATTTGCAGTAAACAGTTTGTTAAATATGATATGCTATAACTTTACACAGTTGTTGTGAGCTGCAGGCTTTACACTTTTATGTGTCAAGAGTATTTATCATGTATTTTAATGCATAACACTGTATTTAGATTTTCTTTATTATAGTAGCCTAGGCCTACTCAAGTTTTTTTAATCGGCATAAGGAATAACTAGAAATTAATTTTGCATCAAAAAGCATTTTGATATCGGTAAAGGTGTCTGCAACTTTTGGGAAACATCAAATCACTGGTATATTAGCGGTCAAAACACGTGCATGACTGCATAAATTATTATCCTTTTTTAATATTGTGCATGTATTGCGCGCTTGTATCTAAAAAGTTCATTTATTCATTCATTTTCTTGTCGGCTTAGTCCCTTTATTAATCTGGGGTTGCCACAGCGGAATGAACCGCCAACTTATCCAGCACATTTTTACGCAGCGGATGCCCTTCCAGCCGCAATCCATCTCTGGGAAATATCTAAAAAGTTCATATCAATAAATTTTGTCTTTGAACTACAAGGTGGCAGTCTTTTACTTTTATTTCTAAATGCAGATTCCATAAGTTTTATCAATATATATTTTTTAACTATATATATATATATATATATATATATATATATATATATATATATATATATATATATATATATATATATATATATATATATATAGTTAAAAATAGATATATTCTATTTTCCTAAGTGTATATAACCACTGTAAGAAAATATCAGCATTTGGTACAATACTTTCAGTATTATCTTTGCTTGAACTGACCTAATCCTGTTTTTATGAAATGAACCTGCTCCCAAGTAGGTTTAAGCTACCAGAACTGTTGCTATGACAACAAGTCTCAATTGAGTTTTGAATAACGAAACAATCGTGGATCGTGTCAAATTGTCAATATCCATATCCAGCTAATTGAGTAATCCACGTACGAAGAACGGACCCCTGGGCTAGCTAATCAAGCTAGGCTTTCTAGAAACATCTTTGCAGGTGTGTTGAGGCAAGTTGGAGCTAAAATCTGCAGGATATCGGCCCTCCAGGACCGAGTTTGGACACCCCTGCCTTAAAGGAAATTTAACCAAGCACAATACCTTAGACAGACGTAATCTAAATATTGAACTGAAAACAAACAGGAAGTGTGTTTACAGATTTTCATTTTCGATTACAAGGGCAAATGTTTTGTTTTTTTTTTCTTAATGACATGCACAAATGAATTATTCCCCTCAATACTTGCAATGTTAGCAAACAAAATCAATATGTTAGATTTGATTTCATGTGTACTTTAAGAAATATGTAAACCCCACTCTGTCTCTCCACAGATGGCTCCAGCACTCACGGACTGGACGGTCTGCTCTCATATTCCTCTCTGCCTCGACAACAACTGCTGGCTATAGATCCAAACATATATGGCAGCGAGCAGTTTAGACACGGCCTCACGCCTCCACAGCTGGGCCCTGACCAGATGCACTCCTATGGTAAGAGTTTCTCACTGTATCAACATCAGCACTGGTTATCATGTCTTATTAAATAGTTAATCGCAGAATGACTTTAGTATTTTATTAATTACTCACCCTCATGTCATTACAATCTCCTGAACTTAAATGAATATATTTTAGATGAAATCTTAAAGCTCTCTGATCCTCCATAGACGGCAAAGATCCTGAGACGCTTAAAGTCCAGAAAAAGAACCAAAAATCCTCCCCAAATCAGTCCATATGCATTCAGTGGTTCAAACAGAATAGTAACATGCACAATACTTTTGTGTGCACATAAAACTAAAATAGCGACTATTTGAGAGGGGTCTGGATGCAGACCTGTTGCAGTGCAATCTGAGCTGCATCCAATGCTACTTAATGCGCTCCCCTAACTCCACCCCTAACCCTGCCCGTCATAGTGATGTCACTCACTCCATTGAGTGCATTGTGTCTGATATTGCATCGCTTGCATCATAAAGGTTTCATCCAGGTACTATTGGACTATTTTAAACTTTTTTCTTCTCCTCGTTCATGAGAAGGCCGTATATATATATACAGTTGAAGTCAGAATTATTAGCCCCCCTGAATTATTAGCGCCCGTTTATTTTTTTCACAAATTTCTGTTTAATGGAGGGAAAATTGTTTCAGCACATTTCTAAGCATAATAGTTTTAAATTACTATTTCTAATAACTGATTTATTTTATCTTTGACATAATAAAAATAAATAATATTTTACTTGATATTTTTCAAGACACTTCTATACAGCTTAAAGTCACATTTAAAGGCTTAACTAGGTTAATACGGTGAACTTGGCAGGTTAGGGTAATTAGGCAAGTTATTGTATAATGATGATTTGTTCTGTAGATTATCGAAAAAAATAGCTTAAAGGGGCTAATAATTTTGTCCCAAAAATGTTTTTTAAAAAATTAATAACTGCTTTTATTCTAGCTGAAATAAAACAAATAAGACTTTCTCCAGAAGAAAAAATATTATCAGACATACTCTGAAAATTTCCTTGCTCTCTTAAAAATCATTTAGGAAATATTTAAAAAAAATATAAAAATAAAATCAAAAGGGGGCTAATAATTTTGACTTCAACTGTATGTATATATATATATATATATATTCTATAAAATTGTCATAAACAATATTCATACAAAATATTTCTTGTGATCTTAGCATATCACTCTAGTTTTATCTTTACGTTGCTTTCCAGTGACTTTTTGAATTGTTTTCAGTTATTTATTTATAATAATAATTGTATAATAATGGTAATATTAATAATACATTTATTTTAATAAATATAAATATTTGTAATAATCCCAATTCTGGTTTTGTTTATATTTAACCAAAGTTGGGTTAAAACAACAACAACATTTTTTTTTTATAATGGACATGTTTAATCGTTCTTTTTCTATAACTAGTTGGTTTTTATTTTTGGGGTTCCGATATTTTAGACCCATTTCTCCTCACCTTCCCGTTTGGTTGGAAAACTCCTGTGATTTCCCCCTACCCCCGGTCCTCAGCTTTTTGGTATAGTCTGTAACACCCCAGGGTCTCCAACTTTGGTATATCATATCTGATTGCAGCGGTCTCCCAAAACCAGTTACTAACCAGTTACTAACACCACAGTACAGTTACTAACCCAGTTCTCATCCGTGTTATTTAGACAAACACACACAGCCATCCCAACCTAGTGGTCTCAGGGAATTTCGGAGACAAATGTTGGCTGGCAGGTATGCACAATAAACTGAGGAAAAGAAACAGTTGAATAAATTAGTCGTTTTTTCTTATGTGCACACATAAGAATTATTGTAGCTTGAAAATTTTTGATTGAACCACTGAATGGTCAGTTTTGAGGAATTGTGTTGGTATTTTTCTAGACTTTGAACAAGTCTGAAACATTGCTGTCTATGGAGGATGAGAGAGCTCTCCGATTTCATCTAAAATATCTTAATTTGTGTTTTGAAGATGATTGAATGTCACAACATGAGGGTGAGTAATTAACACTTGTGTATCATTCAAATGTACTTCCCTTTCATTATGTTGGTGGCCGTTTTTGACCCCACCGACTTGCATTACAATGACATTTTTTGATTGCAATGACTTGATGCCAAATAATTTTGCATTCTTGACTGTTGTTGGTTTTCCCTGTTAGGAAGAGGTACAGTACAATTTGTAATTTATACTGTTGGTCATCAGTGCGCACCATTAAACCTTTAGATAGGCCCGTGCAAAAACATCTATGGCTTTTAAATAGCGTTCTATGGAAAAAAACAGCAGATTAAAGTGTGTGCGTGCAAAAATACACTTTTGTTTACTGTGTTTTTCTGAGAGCTGAGGTGACATATCAAGTTAATTTTCCAGAGATCTATCTTACACCTATCACACACACTATACTCCATAAAAAGCCAGAAACTAAGGTTTTTGCACTGCAACTGATGATCAACGGTAAAAAAATGCACATTTTATCTCTCCCCAAAAGGTAAAACCACCAACAATCAAGAATGCAGGATTATATGGTGTCATAGCTTTGCAATCAAAAAATGTCATTATAATGAAAACAGCCGCTAACATAATGTTAGGGTAGTAAATTTGCAAATGTCAAAGCATTTTCCCAAAATATGCGTCAAAATAAAATTTGCCATTAATATTCATTCCATTTGCTGAAACACAGAGAAAGTTGTGGCTAAATTAAGACTCAAAATCACCCCAAAGTGGATGAAAACGGGTTAATAAAACAATCTTCATTTTTTGTGTGAACTAACCCTTAAAATGAATTAGTATTGAAACAATTTGTATTTGCCTCATTACAGACTCAGAGACGGTTTTCCATGACCTAGACAGTGATGGAAGCCTCAGTCATCTTGGCGACTGTCTCTTGTCGACTGCGGATGGCAGCGTTCTGGCAGGCCGCATAGGAAACCCCATCGATCGCCTCTACTCCATGCAGAACTCCTACTTTACTTCATGACCCTGGTTCAGCCTAGTTAAAGCGCTCCAACAGCACTGCAGGGAGCAGCAGATACAGTGAGGTGTCGTTCAACATCATAACCTACTTCAATTACTAAATTCACATCTTAGTGGTGCCAATCAAGCTTTAAACAGCCAAACCAGGACAGGATCAGACCCTGTGAAATGCAGAATGTTATGGACAGAATGGGAATTCACTGGAATAACATGCTTACCAAATGCACTCTTTTATCATAGACACATCAACAGGCAGCTGCACAAATGCACAGTGTTGGGGAAAGTTTCTTTAGAAAGTAATCCATTACAATAGTTACTCTCTAAAAAGGGAAGTAGTTGCATTACTTTTTAGGGTAAGTAATGTATTGTTACTTTTGAGTTACTTTTGCTTTATCTTTTCTGACCTGGTTGAGGCTTGATCTTTTTCAGATCTTGCTGGGTTTTCTTTCTTCTTTTTTAAACTGAAGAGTCCTGCAATGAACAACACACTGTATAACCTTCATTTACCTAAAAAAAAACCAAACATAAATTAATGTGGGATAATGTTATCTTCGAAGAACTTGACCCCAGAGCTATAAATGCCGTATATGCAGATTAATGACCCTTTAAATCAATGCGTTTGCTACTTTTTGTACTTATTAAAAAGTAAAACCACTGTCCATTCAGATTATACTCTTTTTCTTTTCCTCCATTTAGAGGAATAATGAGAATTTTTCATCGCAGAAATGTAAGGCTCTGCCATCTTCATTTTCAATGTGACTACGGCCATTTTAAGTCAGCAATTATTTTTTTTAAATGTGAATTAACTAAACTGAAAAATAACCCACTTTACGGTTTTTAAAAAGTAACTCAATCATTATTACTTCGTTTTTAAAAGCAATACATTACTTTACACGTTACTTAGAAAAGTAATGTTATTACGTAACTTATAGTATTTGTAATGCGTTACCCACAACACCGCTAATGCATATTCACGAAAAAAAGTGTGTTTATCTAAAAACATTCTCCGTCCAAACTAGCATTTTCCAAAAGTTGCTTTACCACTCTGAAATCACTTAAATATGTGTGAAATAATGTCCGCCCATGTACTGTGCTTTAGTAAAACGTAAGATGCTTTGACTTGCATCTTCCGTTCATTTAGATGCATGTATGATGAGGTCGAGTTGGTGTGAGTGACATGAGAGTATAAAATTGCACAAATTTGTGAAAACATGCTGATGACGCCCCAACAGTAAAGATTCTCAAATTCTCATCTCAAAAAGATCTCTCAAAGTTCAGACATACAGAGAAACTGAAAGCTATCATGTTTACAGATAAGTGACTGCATCACATGAACCATGTCATTGTTTTTGAAAAGCTCAATTTTACAGCCTACGTTTTTATATTCATTCATTGGAGAATGTTTTGTAAAAGAGGCGTTTATATTAACAAAAACACCTTCTAAGTGTGGAATAAATGCTAAACTTTCAGATTTTTACATGACAATTTATTAGTATGGACAAGGCCCAAGTCATAGTTTCCCAAACTTGTTCCTAGAGGCACATTAACATGACAAATTCTGCAGCTGTTCCTAATCAAACTCACCTGAACCAACTCTTCTGCTCATTAGGAAAGACTTCAAAGTACATCAAACATTGCACACATAGTCTGAAAAACTAGACTATACAAATTGATAGTATTTGATTTAACAGTAGTAGTTGAAAAGAACCAGCATGACCTGCTACTGAGATTCTGTAGTCTGCATTCAATGTAGTCTACTATCTCATGAGGCCACATAAGATTTATGAATGGCATTGAAAAGACGCAACTGACACTGGTAAGTCATGCGATAATTAAAACATGGTGGATTCAGTACATCTGAGGGTACGTCTCAATCAAAGCTTTCTTGCAAAGTAGTCGTGCACGGACCAGGGTGTCAGCCATTTTAAGGGCTGTCTCAATCACCAAATATTTCCAAAGAATTAAAACTTTAATTCCCTGAAAAATGTAACCATGGATATCAGGGAACATAGATAGTCACTAAGGCTGCATTTCAATTAATTTTTAGATACGCACTTGTGAATTTCTCTTAACACTTCCCATCTTAAAGTGCGTTCTACTTCATCAAGTGAATGAGGAAAGCTTACATAATCACGCCCTTGATTTTGACCGGTGGAGGGAGTTGGATTCATTTGTCCATCCCAGAACTTATTTGTCCCAGAATGCAATGCGATTGCGACTGCTTAAGGGTTTAGGGCAGCAGTTCTCAATCTCGGCCCTGGAGGGCCGATGTCTTGCAGATTTGAGCTTCAACTCCAATCAGACACACCTGGTCTAGCTAATCAAGCTCTTAAGCTGCGGTCACACTGGACTTGTCTCTCCATAGACTTCCATTCATACGCACGCAAATGCGTCAGACCGGAAACGCAGGGTCATGCCTCAAGTTTCGCAGGTTGCTGTGGTGCAAAGTTGAAGCTTGGTGAACTCTGACCTGCGAAATCGCATCACTTGACTGCGTGAGACCAATCGAGGATCAAAACATGCCTTCTCTGGACAGGAATTTAAAACATGGAGCAAATCGCTTGCTTTTTTAATGTCTAATCATCTTGTTTTATCCAGCCTCTTTTCGCAGAATTTCACACACACAAACTCTATCGTGACCGCAGCTTTATGCTGTGGTCAGTACAGCGCTACGAAAATAGGCGGGATTAAACAAGATGATTAGACATTTAAAAAAGCAAGCGATTGGTCCATGTTTTAAAATTCTGTTCCCGAGGTCATGTTTGATCCTCAATTGGTCTCACGCAGTCAAGTGATGCAATTTCGCAGGTCAGCTTGGCACACAAGCTTGCGTTTCAGGTCTGACGCATTCGTGTGCATATGAATGGAAGTCTATGGGAACAAAAGTCCAGTGTGACTGCAGCTTTACTAGACTTTCTAGAAACATCTTTAGAGGTGTGTTGAGGCAAGTGGGAGCTAAAATCTGCAGGACACCGGCACTCCAGGAGCAAGTTTGAAAACCCCTGGTTTAGTGGGTTCAATTTAAACCCTCAAGGTGTTCCTCCAGTATTGGACACGTGTGTAATATAATCAGTGATGTGCATTCGAAGATACAAGTAGGAGGGAAGTTAGCAAGTGAAGGGTATAAAAAATTGGACTGGAACACAGCCTATGTTTCCTAAATGGAAGTTCTTAAGTTTGAAACATGAATCACATAAATCAAATCAGCAAACACAATGAGAGTTTATTTTTTTAAACATAAACATCGTTAACACGAGTACAGAACAATTAAGCAAATATTTCTAATGAATTAATGCTTTAAGTCAGTTTACCTATAATGTACTTTTTTAAAAGTATGTATTAATTTATGAACCTAATATGTGTAAAATATCAGTTCTGCTTTTATTCATTACATTTATTCATTTCATTAGTACAAGATTTGATATTGTACAACGTTCTGTGGAGAAAATCAAGGCACCGTTCTCACCAGTGCCTGACATTATGTACAACACCTACAATACTGATTCACGACTTATGAAGATGATTGAGACGTACTCTGAATTTCATTAGTACACTACTCATATTCATATTACTGTATATAAGTGGTGGTTTTTTAACAGTTGTGAGGCAAGTTCACATTCAAATACACTACCTATACAGACAGTATGCGATTTCACATGCCACAGAAAAGTCTGTGAAATGTTCTGATGTTATTAGAGGAGGTGAAATGAAAATGTTCTGATTGTTATTAGAGGAGTCTGCTGCTCTACCATTGGACAAAGAATACTGACAAATTGGATCTTCATAACCAATCACATTACAGCTTTGACGTCCAGTTGTTGTGTGTTGACAGTCAGACAAAGAGTTTTATCTATTACACACATGTATTGGGTTAGATAAAAAGAGACACCCAAAATATGTACTCTTGGTGTGCCTCTATGAACAGGTTTATGAAACACTGGTGTAAGTATTACCTCACCCTTTACTCTATGAATTGAGCACGGTTGTGTCTGAAAATGCCTCTCATTCACTATTCCTTATTAATAACAAACAGAGTGCTGCAGGGATGAGCTGAATTTAAAAGCCAAAACCCTCAAACAACTTCCCATTTTAGCTCTTTCAGTTTCATCATCCAAATCAATTAGCTTTTTATTATTATGTCTTTGGATACATGACACAAGCTCAAAATATTTTCACATTTTTTTCTGCAATAACAGATCAGTAGCACACTCGATAGAGCTCTAAAACATTGACTAAAGAAAGTGTCATATACAAACATCCATTACAGCCTCTCTGTTTTGATGTTCATGTTCTTTCAGGAATTTGTTTGGAATTATTTTGGTGACGTTAAAGTCATGCAACCGGCATCTTTTGTCGTTATTATGATGTGATCGTGATACATTGTGGGACGTCTGAAAAATGTAATGGTGCATCTCAAGGGGTTCATCTTAATAAATAAATCCTAATAATTAGTTTTTACCAATAAGGGAGCCCAGTTGATGCAAACTTTCAGATTGGCCTACAAAAAAATATTAAGTTTAAACATATAAAGTCCACTGAATGTGTCAAGGAATAAGCCAATTGTTCTGTTTGGACACATGGCTGTCCACTAAAATAGTGCACTATAAAGGATACAGTAAGATATTTTGGACAAATCCACAGTAAAATTTCATATCACTCCTACAACTGTTATTACCATCCTTATGTTCTTCTAAGTTGAAGTAATGAGGTATTTAATTAACTCATTACCTTCAATACTGAATTCAAAACTCTTTTCAAGTGAGTAGAATTAACTTTCAGTGAATTTTGAGTTAACTACACTCATTTCATTTGATAAAGTTGACTGATGGGTTTTACAGTGTAATAATAACCACTGAGTGCATCTTCAAGAGTTTTCTTTAATGGAATAAGTTCACAGCATAGATTAGCTTTTTAACTCAAATGGTTTGTAGCAATCGGTTTCCTCAAACTGTTTGAGTTGCCTTAACTTACTGGGTTTTACAGTACTCGGTTTGATTTCTCTTCATTTATCAGGTTTTACAGTGCTCAAATTTCTTCATTTACTCTAATGGATTAAGTTCACATTACTCATTAGGATTAGGTTTTGAATGTAAATAATTTGTTGCAATCGGTTTTTTCAAATGGTTTCAGTCATCTTAACTCTGGGTTTTGCAGTGTAGTTTTTTGCTAATCTACAGTACAAGGAGCAGACTGATAAAGTAAATGTCTTGGTGTTCAACTGACACCTAGTGGCATGAACGCAGCATTTCAAACACAATATGTAATAAAATAAAGTATTTCAAAAAGCTAAAATAAATGTATGACAATTACATACAGCTATAAAAACAGGCTAATCTCATTATAATGCATAATTATACATTATTTGTTTGAAAAAGGATTGATTTTGTTCATGTCTAAAAAGAAAAATAATACCGGGTGCACCTTTATAATGTTAAATTTCTCTCATTAAAAAATTATTAGGTAGTTTTTCTTTATTTCTATTTTTTATTTCTTTAATATTTAGTGTTCGGTCACACTTTACAATTAGGTTCATTAGTTGATGTTAATTATTGCATTTACTAACATGAACAAACAACGAACAATACATTTACAACAATATTTATTCATGTTAGTTAATGTTAGTTAATGAAAATACAGTAGTTCATTGTTAGTTCATATTAACTCATGGTGCATTAACTAATGTTAACAAGCATGGACTTGGATGTTAATAATGCATTAGTAAATGTTCAATTATGATTAATAAATGCTGTACATGTGTTGTTCATGATTAGTTCATGTTAGTAAATGCATTTACTAATGAACCTTATTGTAAAGTGTTACCTAGTGTTCAGTGCTTTCCCAGTGTTTTCTTAATGCTGCCCTAAAGGAATAGTTCACCCAAAGTACAAAATGCTGTCATCATTTACTCATACTCAACGTTTACAAATCTTTCTCATATTTACTCTCTTCTCTTATGTCTTTTTTCAGGTTTCTTCAGAAAATCTTGTTTTCGTATTCAACAGATGACAGAAATTAAGTAGCTAGTAAACACCTGAGTGTGAATAAATAAAGGAAATTAAACATTTTGGGTGAGCTATACTTTAAATTGTGCATTAAAAATAAAATAGATCATAAATAATGAAATATCTTTAGGATAATGCAACACTGCATAAAATATCTCAGACAAAACGAGTGAGGGAGTTTTGACGGGGTTCGTAGAGCAGAGCAGACACACATACCACAGTGACTCAGTCGACACTATCAAAACACACATCGATTAAATCAAATAAAATACAGCGCTTGATTTGACCACAAGTATGGAGGTATATATAAATTTTTAACAAAATCACGAATGACATGATTTAATTTCGATCTCAGGTTTTGAAGTGTATAAAGTTTGGACACAGGGTAGATTTTCAGCATGAAGAAACAGGCAGAGTTTTAGATTGTTAGGCATCAGGTAAAATAGGAAAAACTGACTTTATGATGAGGAAAGAATCAGGGTTACTGCCGTCACAGGGTTTAGATATAATCACCGATACAGGGTCGATCATAAATACGACATCTATAACAAGAAAAATAGCACAAAGTGTTACAAAAAATACCCCTTAAATGTTACAAGACGTGTACTTTTGGCAAAGTGTGCTTTAATGTAATATACTACCTAAATGTGTTGGTCACATGACTGTTGTAGTGATTGCCACTATTGTCATACCTGTACTTCGCCTCTTTTTACTCATTCTGTTCTTCTTGTTGGCTATTTGAAATATCATGGGAATATTTATGTTGCAGCATGATGCACTGTATATGTGAAATGTAATATTTATATGGAGGAATGTACAGTAACACCACCTGCTTATGAAAAAAACAACAACTCAAATGTAGTTTCTAGCATTCATTTGTGAAACTGTTTGATTTTTTTGGAGTGGTGTAATAATTCTCCGGCTGTTGATGAGGAGATTAATCGGTATGTCTTTCTGTTTTCCTCGGTGACTGTGTTTTAGTGTGTTGTTCTCAATTTTTTCAATATAACTCGTCATTTCAAGCACTGATGCTCGGCTGTGTGGTTTATGGCTCATATGCGTGATTCTGGGAATAAGAGTTACTTTTTTATTCTGGTCATGATAAATGAAAGATCTGTTCAGGCCGGTGGTCAAAGGCTTAGAAGTTTGTGTCCTCCCACCCGTTTACCCAGCGGTCAAAGCAGTCCTAATCTAATGCCTCCCCTTCGCTCTTTTGTTCCTGGATGCGGGGAACCGGTGGGCATATGAGGGGGAGACATTACATGCCTGCATTCTTTAGTTTAATATTACACAGCGAGGCTGAGGTAAGGAGAAAAACATTCAAATAATGACTAACAGAGAACAAGAAAAACCCTTTGTACATGACATAAACCTGAAGTTTGACTTATTCATTCACATTAAATCAGCAGGTATGCTAAACAGATTTGTTTAGCTCTTAAAGCTAGTATTATTAGCCCATTTTGTGTCTGCATCGATTCACAAAATAAAATGGGCAAATGTTCGTAAAATGATCATTCTGTATAACGGATATTATTATGTACAAATAAAATGGCAACACTTTAGATTAAGCAACAATTCAAAGCAAAATAATTACTTAAGATTTACTTAAAATAATCCTCGTAAGAATTTGCACAAACAAATTTCAAGTAATTTTTACTATCTTTTTTAGGTTAACTTGTCAATATCATGTCAAATTTGCTTAATTTATTTCGGAGAGCTTAAACATTAAGTAAAAGGTATTGATTTTCTTACTTTTGAGTCTTATTTAAATGAACCAAGTATATCATTTTCTTGTTGGAACATTGCTTTTATCAATTTACATAAATCTTATTAGTTACAAATTAGTACATTGGGTGCAACTTGGTTTAATTAAGACATTTCTACTTGAAATGTTTTATTTCACTTTAAAGAAAATGCATCTAGCAAGAGCAAATTCACTTTATAAATGCTTACTGATGTCAGCGCTAGTGTTAGCACAGCTATGATTTTCTGAGTTAAGCATCAAACATTAATGCTGATAATAAAAATAGCAAGACCCAAAGCATGAGTGCTGCTCTTCTGCAAGCCGGTAACCTCAAAACTAAAAGACATACTCAAAACTCTTCTTAATCAAGTCTTTCTCTCAAATTTAAACACCTAAGATTTCTTTTATTTTCAAAATGCTTTTAATTCAATCCTTTGCAAAGCATGCTGAAAACTATCCATTCCAACATATCCATTATTAAAACTTACTTATACTAGGTTTTTGATGATTAGAAAATATTTAAATATTATGGGTAAATGAATATTAATATTTAACTCTTTCCACCCATTTCATTTAAGACATGAAATGTGTAAATACTAAATATGTGCTTAGAAAATTCTAGTTATCCTTGACAATATTACAATTTTAAAATTATGAGAGTCAACTGATTAGATTTGACTACACTAAAAAGTCATTTCTTTCAGTGTACTACTGGCTTATTACCTGCTTATTATCAATATATTAACTGTTTATTAGCATTTATAAAGTATGATTTTATTTTACATCCCTTCTATATCTAAACCCAACTACTACTAACTATCAATAAGCAGCTAATTAGTTTATTGAGCTAAAACAAAAACTGGCACTGCATCCTCCACCTGCTCCCGAAGTTCTAGATCCCCTCCATAAGCCTCCAGTCAGTGTGAGAGCACCACCTTGAGGCATTAAATCACTTTCCAAAACCTTTTCATTCAATGGCCCCGTTCACACTGTCAGGTCTTGTTGCCGAATTCCGATTTGTTGCCTATAGCCGCCTTTCTCTGCATACAATAAATGAAAAGCAATAGACCGGAGGTCATTCATTTTCAATGGAGAGTATGCGGAAGCCTGGATCCAATTTGAGCTCCGGATACATTAAAATATTTGAACACCTGCGACTAGACCATATGCAAACAGCCGACCGGATGAGATGTATTCTAGCATTGTCCAAGCAGGTCCGTGCGCACGAGATGAGAAATACTAGTTTTTTTTTTTTTTTAAATAAATAAAGTCTATATTAAAAAACATTTCTAATTATAAATGAGTAATTTTTTTTGCACTTTATTTCGAACACCACAAGAATCAGCTTCTCTCCCATGGTACATGACAACACTGAAAATTCTGTGCGACTGCCACAAGGGGGCGTATTCTGACAGTCGTGTCCAAATGTCGTGTGCAGTGGAAAGGCGGCTTAAATCAGATTTTTTGCCTGTCTGCTTACACGTTCTTTTAATTGTAACCCATATCTGATTCATGTGTTTACCTTTCCCATACAATTTACGACACTGTGAATGCATAAAGGCAAATTCTAGCATCTGCGCCACACTAGCTACGATGGAAGAATCTGTCTTGCTTTTAGCTCTGCGAAATGTGCAAAGTTCGCCCAACTTTAAAATGATTTTGAGGCACAGGAGGAGGAGGGAAAGGGCTGTCATTGCAGTTTGCGCTTATAGTTTATATATTGTGTCCTCCACCATTCAGAGGAATTTGTGGGTACAAGAGAGATCTCAGGACCTGGTGGGAGCAAAGTATGGCGACTGATAACTTTCCTCCTCCATGTTTCCTCTGTTGTTGTTTACCGCGTCGACATCTCCACACACGCTCTTCCTTCTACGTCATTAAACCATGGAGACGTGCCACATTGTCGCAAGTTTAATGACGAACAAAACAGAAAGCTTCAATAAATCTGATCTGACATGATCGTCGCATCATCAAATATCCGACTTATAACTGATTTATTTCCACCTATGAAGGAGGCCTGAAACCGATCTCTGAATATCTAAATGCATGCGTTTTTTTTTGTGTTTACACCATCATAGAACAGTTCCGTTCTGTGTCACATATGCGCAATAAATTGGAATTGGGTCATATTTAACTGGTAGTGTAAACGGGGCCAATGTTCCTCCCTGGTGGAATGATCTTCCCATTCCCACTTGTACACCTGTATCCTTCAAACGACAACTAAAAACCATCTCATCTCAAAAACCAACTATTGAAGCACTTTCTCTCTCACTAAAAAAATCCTACTCTAGCACTAAATTTCCTGAGCATAAACAAGATACTTTTGAATAACTAGCACTTCTCATATGTATTGCCTCTTCTTGTTGAGTCACTGAATGCCTGCACAATTGTAAGTCATTTTGCACAAAATCTTCTGCTAAATATAAATGTGAGACTTTGTTAATGGCATGAATTATACTTTAAAGCGAAGTGAGGCCTATAAAACACTTACTCTGGCCTGTAAGAAATATTATAATCATATTAGATTTTATTATAGTTTCAATGATTAAAAACCTAAGGTCAAACCCTAGTGGTTTGAAGCGCTGTGCCATAGTATAAAAACTTTGTGTTAGTATTTTATGACATCAAATGATCCTCGTTTTAAATATGCTCAAGTATGTTTTGGTATATAAAGAAGAGAATGACATTTTAGTGAGGTTATGTAAATCATAAGTGTATGGTATAGATAGGACATACTGTATATAAGTGCACCCATCACAAATCTATCTTTCAAGTTAATGCTTTAATAAGAAGCTATACAATATTATATTTGTACATATATATTAGATTAGTCAGAACTGAAGCCAAATCTGGAGCTTATCTAACAAAATAACTTACAATAACGATCCAAAAACTATACAGCCAAATATATGTTATAGGAAATTATTGAAAACAAATTTAAAAGAGCAAAACTAAAATTAACATTTTGTTGAAATTTTGTCATTTCGAAATTTTCCCCAATTTTTCACATGAATTTAAACATTATATCTTTCGGTTTCTGAACATTTACGGAGTTTTAGTTTGATTTACAGTAGTTCAGTCACTAAAATAAATACATTACCTAAATATTCATTCTCAAGATGGGGTGTACCCATTTACAGGTGAAGTCAGAACCCCCCTGTTTATTTTTCCCCCAATTTCTGTTTAACGGAGAGAAGATTTTTTTCAACACATTTCTAAACATAATAGTATTAATAACTCATCTCTAATAACTGATTTATTTTATCTTTGCCATGATGACAGTAAATAATATTTGACTAGATATTTTTCAAGACACCTCTATACACCTTAAAGTGACATTTAAAGGCTTAACTGGGTTAATTATGTAGGTTAACTAGGCAGGTGAGGGTAATATTAGGCAAGTTATTGTATAACGATTGTTTGTTCTATAGACTATCGAACAAATATATAGCTGAAAGGGGTGAATAATTCTGACCTTATATGGTTTTTAAAATATTTAAAACTTATATTATTCTAGCTGAAATAAAACAAATAAGACTTTCTCCAGAAGAAAAAACATAATCAGATATACTGTGAATTTTTTCTTGCTCTGTTAAACATCAACAGGGAAATATTTAAAAAAAAAAAAATTCAAAGGGAGGCTAATAATTAAGATTGCAACTCTAAGTTGATTCCTGTATTTATTAATAGTTTTAATTTTATTCTTTTAGGAGACATATTTAAAATTTATGGGTGGGGGGGGGGGGGGGTAAAGTTGTACAGTTGTATCCTACTTTTCTTGTTTTGATACTTGAAATCCCTTTGTAGGGAAAAAAAAGTATAATAAGAAAACCAAAGAAAGAAGAGCATGTTACATTTTACATTACATAAGTCCTCTGTGCATTCTCACAGCAGAATTTCATTTTAGTGAATAAACACTTTGGGATTTATCGATTCAACAGTGAACCAAAACGCTGCTAAAACAGGACACACAATCTTAAAAAGGGCAGAGAGATTTTTTTTAAAAATATATTATTTTTTTATTGCAACTGTGTTTTTAATATCATGGAAACATTTTAAAAATGATTCATCTCATAAATAGTGTGAAAACGTCCAACAAACAAAAAAAGAAGAAAACAAAAACACATTATACAGTTTAAGAAAAACTAAAGGTTAGCAAAATATTAAGTTCTTGTTTTGTGTGTGTGTGTGTGTGTGTGTGTGTGTGTGTGTGTGTGTGTGTGTGTGTGTGTGTGTGTGTGTGTGGCACTTCTTCAGACTTTTCCATAACCCATTTCTTCCCAGTACTGAGCGTAAATCACCTGTGTTCCTCATCAGACAGAACCCGTCTATGAGGGCTGAGGCGTAGCGTGTGCTGTCGGAAGAAAGTTGTTCATTCATTATCACTTCAAGCTGCAGATTTTGGACATGATAAGAACACACACACGGGTCAGTTCTCACCAACTCCAGAGAGGTCGACGGTCTCGACGCAGGTCAGGAACCGTGAGAGGTGAGACTGACAGGCTTCTGCTGAGCTCTGGTTCTCCTGCAGACAGCGCTCGAACACAGAGAACTCACTCCCACAGTCTGAGCGGATCTTCCTGATCACCGGGCTGCAGCAACAAACAACAACAACGTCACAAACAGACTGATTTACACATTCAACTGGGTAAATAAACTGCTTAGTTCCTGATTTAGCTTTTCTGTCAGACACTGTAGGGAAAACTGTCATGTGAGCTTTTAGGAATTTTATTCAGAAACATGTTTGTGTTTCTGAAGTAGATATGGGTTAAAGATGTGGCGTGGAGCATAAATGTTTATGTAATTATTAAAATACATAGTTATTCTGAGTTCTACTCATTTAAAAAATAAAAATAACAAATCTATCTATCTATCTATCTATCTATCTATCTATCTATCTATCTATCTATCTTTACAGTGATGCTCAGCATACACCGTTGGAAGTCAGAATTATTAGCCCGCCTGTTTATTTTGTCCCCCAATTTCTGTTTAACGGAGAGAAGATTTTTTCAACACATTTCTAAACATAATAGTATTAATAACTCATCTTTAATAACTGATTTATTTTATCTTTGTCTTGATGAAAGTTAATAATATTTGACTAGATATTTTTCAAGACACTTCTATACAGCTTAAAGGCTTACATTTAAAGGCTTAAATGGGTTAATTATGTTAACTAGCAGGTTAGGGTAATCTGGCAAGTTATTGTATAATGATGGTTTGTTCTGGAGACTACCTTTTTTTCTAGCCGAAATAAAACAAACAAGACTTTCTCCAAATGAAAAAAATATTATCAGACATGCTGTGAAAATTTCTTTGCTCCGTTAAAGATCGTTTGGGAAATATTTAAAAAAGAAAAAATAATTCAAAAGGGGGATTAATAATTCTGACTTCAAATGTATAAGTATACCCTTCACAAATCCTTCATTGAAATTAATATTTTTTATTGGAAGCTATCTATTTTATAATATATAAACAATATTATATTTGTGCAAATGCATTAGTTTGGTGAACACTGAAGCCAAATGGAGATATCTAACAAAATAGTTTACAATAACAGTCAAAAAATTAGTAGCTCCAATTTATGCTTGGGAAAAATATCAAGAACCTTTATTGAGGGGGCTAATAATTCTGACTTCAACTGTATATAGTATATCATCTTTGCTTCAAGTTACAAAAAAACTAGCGAGGCATTTCTAATGCAGCGTCTATGGAACAGGATAGTACATTTGACATTATTTTCTCCTTTGGCTGCCATCATCAGTCTCGCACTACTTTTTTCCCATTTCTGAAAGACCTGATAACATCATTGCGGAGATTTTCTTTTATTATTTGAGCAAATGGGATTGTAAAAAATTATTTGTGGTATTCTCCCTTTTACTATGACAACTTCCGCTACTAAGAAACCCGGAAATGTGAAAGGGTCTATTTTTTCTTTTTGTAAATTTTCTTTCTTTTTGTCTATAATTTTTTTCCAATATTTTGCTTGAATTTTAATGTATTATCTTTCAATTTCTAAAGATGTTTGGCAACTCATGAGTAGGCCCACCCAGAATCTGTGCGTGCATAAATCTGGAGATTTTCCGCAGATAATTGCAGTAATATTATTGACTAATGTAAAAATGTATGTACAATGCAGTTTGCACAGTATTATTTTCTGTCTTTAACTAGATATATTATATGACAAACTTGCTTTATTTACCAAACAAAGTTAATCTAATTGGAATTGCATTTTAAACATTAAATAAAAGTTAAAAAATATATTATTTTTTTAATTCATTTAAAAGGTTTTAGTTATGATACTCCCAAAATAATTCCGCTGAAATCCGCAGACTTTTACCTAAATTCTCTGCAGAAATGGCAAAAAAAAAGATTTGGTCTGGCCCTACTCATGAGATGTTCGGTGGATAAAAATATGAAATTTCTAACTGGGGTGTACTTATGCTGAGCACTGTATATATATATAATCTTTTTTTCACTATTATTAACATTTTTAGCATGTCACACGTTTTGTATGTGGGGGGAAATGTATTTAATGCATAATTGCATGTTTAATTTATTTATTTTGATGTTTAAAAAGCATTATTAATGTAAAGATTTGTGACATAAAATATGCTGTTTTCTACTTAATATTTAATATTTCATACCCAGCAACGTATGAATAAAACATACACAAATAGCCAAAACATTGTACATTTAATATTTTATTTAACCTAATACAACTTTAAGAAATGAAAACTAAAATATATTAAATAATTTGCAACATTCTGTCTCAGATTTTACCTTCACTAGCACAGCTGTCAGACTGATAAAGAAGAACATTAAATATTATTATGGTTTTTGGCATTTTCATCCTGTGTGGTGGAATAAACCGTGTGCGGTCATCATAAAACAACAGACAACAAAGCTGAAAACAAATAAATTTCTTTGTTCTTCGAACCCCAAACATTATAATATGAATATATGTATAAGTGTGTGTGTGTGTGTTACTTCAGCTTTGTTGCCTTATGAAAACTATTATAATTTAAAGGTTGAACAATTACTTTATTTTAAACTGAAAGCTTGAGACTGAAAGCATGATGCTGCTGGTGATGAACAGTACGTATGTGATGTGCACATCCGTGATGTGTGTGTTTCTTCAGCTTTGTGGTCTAGTTTTATGATGTCTTCTGTGACTAAGAATTATTAAACAATCAGTAATGAGAACTATTATGATGACAATATTCATTCATGAGGTGAACTATCACTTTATTCCAAACTGAAAGCTTGAGTCTGAAAGCCTGCTGCTGCTGCTGATGTTCAGCATGTATGTGATGTGTGTCTGTCTGTGCACATACTGTGAGGATGTGCAGTGCGCGACCCTCAGCTTCAGCTCCTGACATTTCTCCTGCCAGGATGTGGGATTGGATACCACGCATCCGCCGTACTCCTCCAGCTCCTTCTGGCAGAATTTGGTCGTGATGGCCATTGCTGCTTCCCTGACAGTAAAAGAGATTTTATTACGCTATATTACATGCAGACTACAATACGACATCAACAGCGGTCAAGAACAAACAGCACGACCGTATAAACATTGCGGTTCATGTAATGCTAGTTCATTTAGCTAATAAAGTTTAGCTTGGTCTCTGGCTTTTGTAGTCGTGTTGAAGCGTAAAGAAGGATAGATTTATCACACATCATGTCGAATAAGCGATTAAACACACAGCTGTAGGTCACAGCTGTTTACTCACATGTTGAACTCCTTTGATTTTCAGCCGCTTCTAGTAGTGAATGAATGAAGGTTAAGCCGAATATCACGCACGCACATGTTCAGGGAAACGTCCACGCTCCCGCCGGAGGAATGTGATTGGTCCATTTTTACACTTACCGTGGTCCTATTGGTGGTTTCTGTTGGGAGGTTGAAAGAATGGGCGTGACTTTAATAAATTAATTTATCTTTGCACTTAATTTTTTTCGTCACTTTTATGCGCTTATGGGGACCGTGGAAATGTATGAAAAAAGTTTACAAACTTAGATAATAACAAATAAATGTATAAATAAATGTACAAATGAATATTTAATATATATAAATGTTTAATGCATAAAAATATAAAATAAATCATAAATTAATAAGATTAATAATTAACATACAAACAATTTATTAAGATAAGTAAAACCATGCAATAAAACAAAGAAACAGATACAAATTTGATTGCAAGCTAATAAATGCATTAATAATTTTAAACGAACAAATAAAAAATATTACATAATTCATAAATATGTAAATGTATTAATATATAACTTATAAGTGTTTCATATTAATATATTAAATTTTTTTAAACATTATTAAAATAAACAAATAAATTCGTAAATAAATGAATAGAGTTCTGTAATGACTACAAATAAATGCAATGTAACTAAGAGAAGTACATATTCACAAATAATTATAGATAAATGTCGCATTTATTTTTTCATGGTATAATTTAGATAAAAAATGTGCACAAATTTGTGTATCCACTGGTGTTTATTTATATTTTGACATGTCATAAATAAATAAAAAATCTTAAAATCATTTCGAAAAAAATTTCCAGGCAACGACATGGACCGGATACTGCGTCACCGGCGTACGTGCTTGCGTACGCGGAAGCTGTCGTGTGTGTGTCTGAAATTTTTCAGAAATCTGTGGAGTGGGCAGACAACAGGCCGGTGCAAAGCTGCCTTTTTACCACCCGCGCCTGCAAGGAGGAGGTGGAGAGTAGGAGGAAGAATGGATGAAGCTAAAAAGGGGGCAAATATGGCCGCAGACGGCGTTGATGGGCCGGCGGGGACGCGGACGCGCGCGCCGAGCGACGACCTGGTGAGAGCAGTGTCTCTCCACAGCCGCAGGCCACGCGTGCTGCACGGGACGGTCTTCCCGTTCCTCATCCTCTACCCGGCCTGTTTATATACGTGGTTTGGTGTTTACGGGGCAGCGGAGTACGTTGAGGCCGGACTGCTGGCTCTCGCAGCTCTCGGGATCGCGCACGTCCTGACGGTGCTTTCTGGATACTGGTCCGTGCACGCGCACTGCCTGCTCACCTGCTCGAAGGTGAAAATGACAAATAAAACATGTTTGCTTTATGTAAACGTTAAACAGAAACGGTGTTTTGACGGAATTACACATTTTTAGTGATTGGTTTTATTTACGGGTCTGTTTCGGTGATAATGTCTAACATATGTTTGGCAGATTCTCAATGTAAAAGTTGACTGTGATTATGAAATTATGTCTCTAACAGGAGTCTGATCCAGCCAAAGCCACATTTGCAAAAGTTATACCAACACCCAATAATGGCTCAGCAGAATTAGTGCCTCTTCTGAGGGATAAGGTGAGATAATAAGCTAATTTGTTACGGAAAACGATCCACTGTATCTTGTGTTAGTAATATTTAATGTTCTTTAATGTTTTATTTTAGGGGTTTTTCTGGCACCAAATGAGATACATCTTTAAGTTACCTGCAATTTGTCTTGTATACAAAGATAGAAATATTTGAAATAATATAATGTTACGTTTATGTAAGGATGGAATGGATGTGTTTAAAATCTCAGTCATGGGATGCAGACTTATGCCCTTGTTTATTTAGACAATTATACAAATATATGTTAAAACTATGTATATACAAATTGATAATAGGAACTAAGTATCTCATAAGTCATTATGAAAGTGTTTGTGAAAGTGACATTGCAATATTTTATTATCTGCGATATATATTGTGATGTATATAATAAAATACATTGGGATATAAATTCACCAAATGACCTTAATTACTTTTTTTGCAAAGACTTTAGATTGATTGGGATGATTTTATAGGGGAGTGAAATATAAATATATTTTATGTAATTTATTATATACATACAGTACAATTAACAAAATACAGTCATAAACACAATGGAGCAAGTATTAAAGTGAAATAAACAGTGATTTATGGTTTAACAGTATTCGGTTAAGGAAATTGAATAATCAGATGTAAATTAACAATGCATAGACTTCATCATATAAATTGTTCAATAAAAGGAATCTTTATTAAACTCTTTATTAAACTGCTCTATTAAAATGCTTACATAGTCACAGGCCTTAAAAACACGTGAGGATAATTAACTTTTACTCTATTATGCTTAACTTCTGCAGAGTCTTCACAAATCTCATGTGTTTTGACCTGTGGTTCCTGGTCCTCTATAATCCTAACTCAACATTACATATGTTGCGATGTGACTATTGCGGACGTACACATTGTGATATCGATGCTCAAACGATATATTGTGCAGCACAAATTTTTTACCTTTTTTTTTTTTTGTTTTGTTTCATTAACAAGAATCTGTATGTACAGATTCATTATAAATTATAAAACAAAATCCCTTCACATTTCTTAACAAGGATTCAATAAGAAAAGAGAAAAATAAACAAAAAGCGATAATAAAAAAAGGGAAGAGGGTACATAATTATCAAATTCCATACAAATATATTATACATGTGGTTTTTTTTGTGATTTGTTTTTTAAATTTAGTTAACAAAAGTTATTAAATGCACTTTTAGTACAGAAATGCATGTATACATTAGGCATGGGACGATAACCGGTTTCAAGATTTACCGTGGTTTGGAAAAGTCAGCTTTTTATAACCGCTTACATTTTCTGTTATATCGTTCCTAAGGTATATGTAAGGTTTTTTTAATGTGCTTTTCTAAAATGTGCTGTAAAGAAATCTGTGTTTTTGAAACTAATGAAGACAGCAGAAGTCAATGATTTAAGTTTATTATTTAGCCTGACATGTTTACTGTTACAATTTATGAAAAATATAATAATAAAGTGGAATAAAGTTGTTTTTTACCCAGACATTTAAAAAGAACTTTTTTTAGAACAGTAATCACAATACCATGAAACTGTGGTATTTTTATCCAAGGTTATTATAATGTCTGAAACTTATACTGGGCCATGGCTTATATACATGATTGTAGATCATACGAGATCAAAAACCGTTTCCTATTTTCTCTTGGTAGGATGAGGATGGAGCAGAAATCCTGTCCTTTGAGTTCCAGAAGATCTGTTATGTGTACGACGGCGAGGAGAAGAAGCAGTTTCTGCCGGTGGCGTTTCCCATCAGCTTTCCCATGAGCCATTTCCAGAACTGGAGAGGCTATCAGGAGGAGGTTCAGTTGCGGGCCGCGGAGAAGCGATATGGCACCAACCGTGCAGAAATGGTGGTGCCGGACTTCCTGGAGCTCTTCAAGGAGAGAGCCACAGCACCCTTCTTTGTCTTCCAGGTACTGTACATTTGTGGTTTAGTGGATATTTACCATCAAGCTTTTTATACTGGATTGATGGCATGTGCAATAGAAATAATAAGCTGGATTACAGTTGAAGTCAGAAATATTATCCCACCTGAAATATTAGCCCCCTGTATATTTTTCCCACTAACATATGATGACATTGCATAATATTTTGCTAGATATTTACTAATATTCAGCTTAAAGTGACATTCAAAGGCTTAACTAGGCTAATTAACTGGGTTTCTGCGAGGTCCTAAAATGTCTTTAATATAAAAAAAATGTTAGGTCTTAAATAGTCTTAAATTTACAGAAATATTGTGTTGTAGGTCTTAAATCTTTTTAAACAGGACAAACCCAATCGGGCCAGCACCCATTCAATCACCAATAATCCATCTCAATAACAATGGGATTTTGAACTCTATTTACCGTTGTAGTTTAATTATTTTTCTTGCAATAACATTTGTTTAAAAGTCTCTATGTATTTACTGTTGAGGACCTGAACAGACTGTTTTGCATACATTTAGTTTATTATAATTACTTTTTACTTTAAGAAAAGTTATGTTAAAAAAGGGCATATATACAACTACAGCTTGGTTGTTTTCACACAAAATGTAAAATATTTTGGCTTAGAGTTAACTAAAATTAAAATTTTAATTATTTAATTAAAATAATTTATAATTTATAGTATTAAATTGTTAAAAAAGTTTGATTGTGCAAATAAAGATCTTTTTTCTATGGGCCATTAAAAAAAATTCCTAGCGTTTAATCCTGTATTAGTTTAAAATTTCATTCATTCTTAAATTTAACTTGCTGAAACCTGCAGAAACCATGAATTAAGCAAGTTAAGGCAAATCATTGTATAATGATGGTTTGTTTTGTAAACAGTAGGTAAAAATAGTGGGCTTAAAAGGGCTAATAATATTGACCTTAAAATGGTTAAAAAATAAATAAAAACTGCCTTAGAAAACAAATAAGATTTTCTCCAGAATTCACAGCAGGGCGAATAATTTTGACTTCAACTGTATGTTGAATCTGAATTATTTAATGAAAGTCCAAAAATCAAGTATACGTGTAATTAAAGTAAACTATATTTATGTTTTAATATACCATTTTTGTGAATTTGTATTTATTTATTTATTTCTATTTCTATATTTATGTTTCTATTGATTTCTATTTCTATATTTGTTCATCTCTAAATGAACTATGAAGTTGTTCTGATCATGTATTGTTTATGTGTATTGATCTTGCCCTGAAATAGTTACAGGTTGCTGATGTGACAATAAATAAACAAACAACTAGACTAAACTACTTTTGAAAATTCTCCTTTTAAATGGAAATAGTTTTTGTGGACTATATATTATTATTATTAATTAATAGCAGTACATTGTTGACAATTCATTGATTCTTCTATTTTTTTCTTTTTTTACTTTTATGCTATTAATAATAAGTAATTTTCATAATAAACTAATAAATTAGTTTGTGGTGATTCATGTTTTCGATGAACAACAGCAAGAATCACATAAAAAAAGACTAAATCAGCTTAAGGTAAATGCACGTGTTTTTGAACCACTAAATAGTAAAATTATATTTCACTGTATTAATTATAGTATTTATAACACAATTATAAGATTTACAATGCTATTATAATATTATTATAGTATATTACACTATAATAATCAGTGCTACAGATGCTGTTGTATTAATGATTGTCAACTTATTAACTAACACACTGAGGAAGGCTTTGTGCCGAAACGTCTGTTTGTCTGTTATCACCCGTAAAATGTGAGAAAAAGTAAAAATAAAAACAGTATGAAGCAATGAGTGCGAATCATTACCTTCTTTTGAATAATAGTAACGATCAGATTAACGCACCAAACCAAAGAAGTAACTAAAAAAAAACGCAAGCACGCAGGACAAACTTCAGCAACTTATTAACTAATAAATATTGTAATATTACATTTACATTTACATTTAGTCATTTAGCAGACGCTTTTATCCAAAGCGACTTACAAATGAGGACAAGGAAGCAATTTACACAACTAAGAGCAACAATGAATAAGTACTAAAGGCAAGTTTCAGGTCTGTAAAGTCTAAGAAGGGAAGTGTTAGTAGTTTTTTTTTTTTTTTTTTTTTTTTTTTTTTTTTTTTTTTTTTTTTTTTGTACAATTAGTGTGATATTCAAAGAGGCAATTGCAGCTTAGGAAGTGAAGTGGAGACTAAATAGTTGAGTTTTTAGTCGTTTCTTGAAAATAGCGAGTGACTCTGCTGTTCTGATGCAGTTAGGGAGTTCATTCCACCAACTGGGCAGATTGAGCGTGAGCGTTCGCGAAAGTGATTTTTTCCCTCTTTGGGATGGAACCACGAGGCGACGTTCATTCACAGAACGCAAGTTTCTGGAGGGCACATAGATCTGCAGAAGTGAGTGCAGATAAGAAGGTGCTAGGCCAGAAGTCACTTTGTAGGCAAACATCAGAGTTTTGAATTTGATGCGAGCAGCAACTGGCAGCCAGTGCAAACGGACTAGCAGCGGAGTGACATGTGCTCGTTTAGGTTCATTGAAGACAACTCGTGCTGCTGCATTCTGGAGCAGTTGAAGAGGCTTGATAGAGTTAGCTGGAAGCCCAGCTAGTAGAGAGTTGCAGTAATCCAGTTTGGAGAGAACAAGAGCTTGAACAAGGAGTTGAGCTGCATGTTCAGATAAGAAGGGTCGGATCTTTCTGATGTTATAGAGTGCAAATCTGCACGATCGAGCAGTTCTAGAAATGTGGTCAGAGAAGTTTAGTTGGTCATCATATTATAGTTTTAGTACAGTAAACTGTGGTGTATTCTGCATTATAGTATAATATACCATAATTGTAGAAAATTACAGTATTGGGTAATTTTATTTATTGCTTTACTTGTTGTGTTACAGCAGCTATAAATACCACAGCAGATTCATTCAAATTATTTACTATTGTATGGTTCAAAAATACTATAGTATTTACTTTAACTACTTTAAAGCATGTTTTTTTATTAGATTGTGTTGGCTTTAATTCTGTGAGAAACATACTTTATTCACTTCATCCTTTTGAAGTGATTTTGAACACTGTTGATCTAAATACAGTTTTGGAGTTTTTAGCAAAAATCAATTGTAGAAGCTTAATGTAATTTAGAGCTGAATTATACTTTTTTGAAAATAGCAGTTGAAGCTGGCATGGCATTAAACTCAAACATTCAAATTACTATAGTAATGTCATTTTAGTGTGTGGAATCACTATAGAAAGTAGTTTTTTATTAATAGTCATATTTATGTCTGGTGTATTGTTAGATAAAATATTTTTTACTTCGATTAGTTTAGATTTGAAATATGTTCTTCGATATTGTGTTTTATAATGTTTCAATTTTCTAAATGTACTTAATTTTAGAAAAATGTGGTGTGACATTTATTTCATTCAGTTTTACTATTAGCAAACACAAGCAGCAAGGTATATTAGTGTTAGTGTTTTTAACTTATTAACTGACAATACATTGCACTTTAAAAAGAAGCCATTGAGGCACTTGTTGATCATGTTAGATCACACTCTCCATGCCGAATAAATAAGATCTAGCTCCGGAAAGCAGATCCTGTCAGAAAATGTCTGTTTCTCTGGGTATCCAGACAGCAAGCCAGCAGATCCGATGAATACCCAAACTTGTTTACCAGTATTCAACTACCAATTGAATTGTACTATCACTAAACTATCACTCATGAATTGTAATGACAAAAAACGTGACAGAATTTGCAGTCAGTAATATCAGTTCTTAGATCACCACAATTTTTAGTAAAGTAATCGGACTACTTTTGGATTAAATTTGGATTACTTTTGTGCCAAGCACCCTGTTTTGAAATCACCTATATTGAAGTAGGATACTATTTTGACGTATAAAAATCCAGTCTTTATGACTGTAGAATCTAACTAAGGGTCTGAGAATCTTGCAGCAAGCGTATGTGTGTGTTGTTTCAAGAAAACAACCGTTCATTTGTGTATTGTTTTCATTTGTTTATATTCATTTATTCTTCATTTAATAATATGAACATTAGTCATTTGTCTGATTATCATTATATCATTTTATTCATCATTAGTTAATGATTTCATATTATTTGTCATTTGATTATGTTTTATATTATTTTATTGAATAACCTTAGTTGTGTATGATTCAGTGCTCAGACTTCATCTGACCAGGATAAATCCAACATGTGTTATTATAATACAAACAACAGCAATAGAGAATTACTGCTTCCACAACATTGCCTAGAGACAATACAGACCTTGAAATGGAGACATTCTTTTCTCTCATTCTGGAAAACAAGTGTCACTTGAATCCACACAGTATTAAGATTATAACAGTATGTAAAATGGAACTAATAATAAAGCAATGATTATAGGAAAATTGTAATAATATTAAACATAATCAAATGACAAATATTAGTCAATAGTAATCAAATCATTAACTAATGATCAATAAAATGGTAAGTAGATAAATGACTAATTGTCATATGATTAAATAAAATAAATAAATGAAGAATAAAAGAATATAAACAAAAGAGTCAGTCATAAAGAACGGACTTTATGTCAAAAGAATAGATTACCCCACTTTATTACATAGTATCAAATAAGGATGTTTGGTACAAAAGTAATTTAAATGTAATCCAATAGTAGAAATAAAAATTGTGTCAATCTAAGAGATTTTATTACTGACTGCCAATTTTGTCATGTTTTGTCATTGTAATTTATGAGCTTTAGGGATTCTTACGGATCACAACCCATGGTTCAGAATACAAATGGCCAACAGATTTATACGTTTTTTTTTACTCTTAGATTAATTCTAAATTTATAACAAAGAAAAGCTCACGTCATTCAAATCACATGTATGAAATCATTTTAGCTTTCTTGTAAAATATAATGATAATGGAAGAAGTTGTGATAGGTTATTCAGGATGTGGTGGGTTTCTTAGGTTATTAAAGGTTTTTTCTGTCACTACTTGTTTAGCCTGCTTTATTGCATTCAGTGTTAGCTGCACCATTAATCATTAAAAGATCAGGATCTCAACACCCACACAACAAATTCTAAATTGTGCTGATTTGGATATGTTTATTAATCCTTTGAATCGCTGCATTCAAATTTGAAAAAGCAAAAATCAAGAAGAAGATGCAGTCTTTAGTCTTTTAAGTTAGTTATAAAGTTGAACAGTCAAAAATGCAGAAGTTCTGGTATGACGGTTTATAGTTTAGATAAGACCACTGATATTTATGATAAAGAATAAAATCACAATCATATACACTTAAATTGACACTCAAAAATTAAAGTTGGCAGAAATTACATGATTTAACTAAAAGGTGGCAACAGCCAGCCATGAAAAATATGCCACTGAATAATTCTTCAAAAATGACACCTCTAGCAATGAAGCATGAAGTTTGTGAGTGAATAACTGAATCATTTATTGAAAATGAGACTAAAATAAATATGGATTGTCCAAATTATAATGTTAGATTTCTATATTTAGTGTTATCAGCAGCAACAGTAGTAAAAGTGAATTTTTCAGTTTATTTTTATTCAGCTGATTATTTCTTTATTTTATTTTTAATAAAGTTACAGCTTCTAAGTTCTGTTTGTTCAAACCAAAAGTTTCTTGCAGTTAGGCATGGGCCGGTATAAGAATCTGACTGTATGATAACCTTGGATAAAAATATCACAGTTTCACGGTATTGCGATTACTGCTCTGAAATAAATTATTTTTAAATGTCTGGGTTAAAAACAACAACAAAAAATCCCTTTAAAAACAATATATTTTATTTTTTGAAAGATTTAAAATATTTTGCAGCAGTAAACATGTCAGGCTTAATAATTTAAATGAATCATTGACATCTGCTGTCTTCATTTGTTTAAATTTAAAACTGCATATTTGGATATCTTTTCTGCTGGAGATACTGTTGTCCTAAAAAAAACAAAGTATATAAAAAAATCGTACCTTAGGAACGATATTACAGAAAATTTTGATGGTTTTAAAACATTGACTTTTCCAAATCGCGGTATACCTTGAAAACGGTTATCGTCCCATGCCTACTTGCAGTACAGTTTTTGTAATAAATGGAAAGCAAACATTACATTCGTCTCATCCCTTTTTGGCTGACCCTAAAAATGGTCCAATCCTTTACTAAAAAACCATAATGTGATCTGAACCATTGTGATATGTGATCCATTGCACCACTAGCCAGCTCTGTGTTGAAGTTTACTGTAAATACATGTAGCTCCTGGCAGTGGTTCTGCATCAGATATATAATCTAGATCTAGATTTGAGTCATATGTTGTGTGTTTCATATGATCTGTTTGTTTCTGTTGGTCTGCAGGTGTTTTGTGTTGGTCTGTGGTGTTTGGACGAGTACTGGTACTACAGTGTCTTCACGCTCTTTATGCTGGTGGCCTTTGAAGCGTCACTGGTGCAGCAGCAGATGAGGAACATGTCTGAAATCCGCAGAATGGGGAACAAGCCTTACATGATCCAGGTGACTCAGTTTTAGATTATCTGTAGTTTTAGGCAGCGTGAAATGAGTTTAACTTTTTCTATATATTTATGTATATACCATGGTGTGAAAAAGTGTTTGCCCCCTTACTGATATAGTATGTATGCGTGTGTGTGTATATATATATATATATATATATATATATTTGTACATGTTTGTCACACTTTAATGTTTCAGATAATCAAACTAATTTATATATACACTTACACATACCTGCATGCATGCATAAAAATTCATTTAGCAGATGCTTTTATCCAAAATGATTTACAAATTGTCAGAAAGTAAATGTGGCATATGTAGAATATTAAAATTAAGTGTGTTTTTTTATTGCAGTTACTGTAAAGGGATTATTGTACTCAAATTAACTTGGTGAATTGCTCTTCTGTGCAATGTTGTCATGGCTTTAAACCATTTTTTGCACACAATGTGTAGCAGAGCCTAAATGGTTATGCTTTCACTGTATTTGTTTTATAGCCTTTATATTATTTTTTATATAACTTAATAATAAGCTTGAAGATATTGGACAAGATATCATGAAATACTAATAAATAAATAAAAATTAAACCAAAATATAGCCGGCAGCTAGCTCACTGCAACTCTTACATGGTTGCTCACTGAAGCTAAGCGGGACTACGCCCGGTCAGTAGCTGGATGGGAGACCACATGGGAAAGCTAGGTTGCTGTTGGAAGTGGTGTTAGTGAGACCAGCAGGGGGCATTCAATCCGTGGTCTGTGTGGGTCCTAACGCCCCAGTATATTGATGGTGACTATACTGCTTAGTAAGTGCCGTCTTAACCCCGGCATCTTGGCCAAATTTGCTCACTGGCCTCTGTCTATCTTGGCCTCCTAACCATTCCCATATTATAATTGGCTTCATCACCCTGTCTTCTCTCCACCAATCAGCTTGTGTGTGTGGTGGACGGTCTGGCGCAATATGGCTGCCGTCATGTCATCCAGGTGGATGCGGCACACTGGTTGAAGATGAGCAGATTCCACCCAAAACTGTGTAAAGTGCTTTGATTGTTCAGAAAACGCTATAGAAATGTAAGGAATTAATTAAGTTAATTAAAAATATGAAAGATTAGAGATGTATGCTGTATATAGAATAAAAAATAAATGAATAAATAACAAGTAGGCGACGCAGTGGCGTAGTAGGGAGTGCTGTTACCTCGCAGCAAGATGGTCGCTGGTTCGAGCCTCAACTGGGTCAGTTTGCGTTTCTGTGTGGAGTTTGCATGTTCTCCCTGCATTCGGGTGCTCTGGTTTCCCTCACAGTGCAAAGACATGTAGTACAGGTGAATTGGGTAGGCTAAATTGTCCGTAGAGTGTGAGTGGGAGTAAGTGTGTGTGAATGTTTTCCTGAGATGGGTTGTGGCTAAAAGGGCATCCGCTGCATAAAAATGTGCTTGATAAGTTGGCGGTTCATTCCGCTGTGGCGATCCCAGGTTAATAAAGGGAAAAGAAAAGAAAATGAATGAATAAATAACAAGTAAAAAAAATGAATGTAATAAATATAGAGAGATGTATGCTGTATATCACAGTTCAGGCAAAAATACAAAAGTAATTTTTTTTTTTACTATTTAAAATGTTTAAAAAATTATAATTTTTTTATTGTTATTTACTTTTTTCTCCATTGCAACACACATAAAATTTAATTGGCTTCTGGAGCCAGACCAGAATGCTAAATATATAAGAAAAGGAATAGTCACTTTTGATCCTGCCGTGTCCACCTTTAAATGCCTGTCATGTTGTCTACGAACTCTTAGTAAAATGTTCCTTAAAAAGTACATAATGCAGGTTTTGCCTCTGATTGGTCAGTTAATCATGCTCTCTGTGATGTTTATGATTTAGTAACATAAGCAAACCTTTCATGCATAGCAAGAAAGGGAGTATTGGGAGTATATAGTTATAATGAAGTAAATCGAAGGTTGGTGCTCAAAGAATATGATTCCTGTAATACGTGGTAATTGTAGTTTATGTAATAACTGTTATACAAACATGTTATATAGATGTTTTGTTACCATAATAGGGTGAGAAAATCAGAGTTCAATATTTTTATCACCTAAAACAAACTCTAAATGATATTGTTTGAAATTACATAAGAACAATTCATACTTTAGCTTTCCCTTCAGTATTTGTTGCCTATTACTAAATGATGCTGGAAATTCACAATTCACATTCACTGCTTACTAAACAGCTAGACATTAGAGTAAGACTTTATAATTTGAGCTCTTTTTGTTTGTAACAGGTTTATCGAAACAGAAAATGGAGGCCTATATCCAGTGATGAGCTGGTGCCTGGAGACATCGTCTCAGTTGGTAAGTTTCGTGAAATCAGCTGTAATGGCCACAAAACAAGTACTTGTACACTAGAGAAGTGCTTAAATATATGAATATATTTGCTTTTTTATGCAATAACACATGCTTACTGAAATGGCAGAAACAAAAAATCAGTTACACTGAGCAATTTTTTGTTGAAAGATTTGCTAGAATTTAAAATGACATAGTAGGGCTGCTTGATTCACGATTATTTTGGTCAAAATTGTAATCACAATTATTCAAATCGATTATCAGTTAAAGTCAAAAATTTTCACTTCTCTGTAAATGGTTTTTATTCTATTTATTTATTTATTTATTTATATATATATATATATATATATATACATATATATATATATATATATATATATATATATATATATATATATATATTTCCCAAATGATGTTTAACAGAGGAACTTTCACAGTATTTTATCTAATATTTTTTTCTTCAGGAGGAAGGCTTATTTGTTTTATTTTGGCTAGAATAAAAGCAGGTTTAAATATTTTGAAACTTGTTTTAATAGCTCAATATTATTAGCCCCTTTAAGCAATATATATTTTTGATTGTCTGCAGAAGAAACTTCTGTTATACTATGTCTTGCCTAATTACACAAATTAAGCCTTTGAATGTCACTTTAAGCTGAATACTAGTATCTTGAAAAATATCTAGTAAAATATAATGTACTGTCATCATAGCAAAGATAAAAGAAATCAGTTATTAGAAATGAGTTATTATATATGTTATGTTTAAACTGTGCTTTAAGCATCTTCACTGTAAGAAAAAAAAAACTTTTGCTACAAAAGTCCTTTAGTCGAGAGCAGTGAGGGATTTTCTCCTTTTGTTGTTTGATTAAAAATAAAAACAGGCGGCATCAGGATCATTGTATGCTGTCACTTTAAGAATAATGCAGCTCTGATATGGTTTCTCTTTCTCATCTTTTGATTCTCAACTTGTTTATTACACAAATGAGGGTTAATAAGAATAATCACTAAACACCATGCTCTGACACAAATGTGCATGTATTTGACCATTAAAGCGCTCTCATTAAGATGGCGTTAAATGTGTGTGCTCTGCTTGTCTCCGAGGCTAAGCGCGGCGCGCACACACAACAACAGCAAGCACTCTTTTGCGCTTATAAAAATATGAATGATTCAAATGTTAATCAATGAATGATGCGCATCTCGTGCTGCAAAAGTTACATTACAGCACATGCTTTTAGTCATTTTCACGTGGAAATGAGCTTTGCAGAGCAATAAATGTGTACAACTGGAAAGGGGGCAGTATATGATGCAATAATTGTTTATCTCGATAAATGGTTTTTCGTAATTGTTAGAAGCTAAATTCAAAATTGCGTTTTTGATTAATTGCACAGCCCTATGACATAGTAAAGTAATATGTGCACTACTGCTGTCATTTAAGTATTTTTTTTCTTATAAATACTTTTCTTTAGGAAGCATTCATTGAGTTGATAAATTGATAATAGAACATTTATAATGGTGAAGAAGATTTTTAAAAACGCTGGTTGTGTGAATGCATCAAATAACCCTAAAAAGACGCTTATAACGATTTCTGAAGGATTTCTAATGACACTGAAGACTAAAATAATGATGATGGAAATTCAGCTTTGACATCACAGAAATAAATGACATTTCAAAATGAATTCATTAAAATATAATTATATTCAACTGCACTAGTATTTTGCCAAAATATATATATTTTTTTTACTCATATTTAGTCAAATAAATGCAGAAGTTTATTTTTAAAAAACACCTTAATAACCTCCAACAGTTGGATAATACTATTTAAAATTAAGAATAAAACTTAATAAACTTTTGTTTGTCACGTTTGTATTTAATGGGATGAACTTCACGTTACTTTAAATAGTAATGTTACAAAATAATGTTATAATAATTACAAAAAGGTAATAACAATAACCGTACAAAAGTAAATGCTACGCTCACTAGCATGAGTAATGAGCATCTATTTCCTGTGTCTTGACAGGACGTTCTCCTCAGGATAACCTGGTCCCATGTGACGTGCTGCTGCTGAGGGGCCGCTGCATTGTGGATGAAGCCATGCTTACAGGAGAGTCTGTGCCGCAGATGAAGGTGCGTCTGCTTGCTTTTTCCACTTCAAACTATTATACCATCAGCTTTCGGTAATTGCCTATGCTGTGTCTACAGGAACCTATAGAGGACCTGGACCCTAACAGGATCCTAGACCTGCAGACTGACTCCCGACTTCACATTATTTCAGGCGGCACCAAAGTGGTTCAGCACAGCCCACCACTGCGAGCCAGCGCAGGCCTAAAACGTTAGTACATGTGCTTCACCTGTAATGAATCATTTGACGTAATATGAAAGAATGTCAGACCAAACCAACCTGTTCAGTTCAATATATTTAAAACCGCTTGCCAAAGAAAGCTTTCAGATCAAGTTTGGTCTAGCTGTTAAACACCTTAAAAATGTTGTATTTTATATACAGTATGTGTGTATTTATACATATACATACATATAAACCGTACACATGTATAAATATTAAGTAAACTTTTGTATTGGGTGTGACTTAATTGTGATTAATAATTTGACAGCACTAATATTTGCATATTCATCTAAACCTCATTCTCACAAATGAGGACAGTGTATTATTCTGGTATTTTTTTCTGCTATGCAAAAAACAAAATAGACCTTAGCTGTGAATGTATCACACAATAAACCCCTATTACTCGTTTTAAATGATAAAGGGCTGGTTGCATAAACAAGGTTTAAGCTTAAGCCAGGACCAGGGGCCTCATGTACGAAGACTTGCGTGGAAACCTTACTAAAACATTGCGTACGCACAATGCTGTAAACACTGCGTACGCCGAATCTCACGCATATTCTTTTGTACATTCGAATGAACGTGAAACTGAGCGCAACATGCACGAGCACAAAACCCCTCCCCGCCTCCTCCCCCGTATGAATATGCTAATGACTATGCTAATGGCAAAACCCAATGAAAAAGCAATGGCAAAAGCAAGCAGGTGTTATTTGCATGTTTGTTCTCCAGGATTAACAACAAAAGAAAAAAATAGAGAGTTTAGCTGATGCGGTTAACACAGTTGGGTCTGAACATCGCACTGAGTGAATTAAAACGAAATAGTGTGATTTATAGGTGTAAAATGTTGCAGTACTCACATCAATCTCAGTGGCGCAGCTTATAAGTCGCATGTCTACATGCTGTGACATGTTCAAGCATGAACTCGGTTCGAATCTAGCGTATAATGAACTCTTTTTTATTTATTCCCCCGCTACATATCAGATTTTGCCTACTATTTATAACGAGAAAGACAAGTAGGAATCATCAATAAGTTTGTGCATCATATTTTATTTGCACATTTATTGAATGGAAATGTTTCTGATTCACGCATGCAAATTCATTTTCAGATAGTGTCTTTATAGCAATGTGCGTGCAGTAGATAGCTCAGATTACATTGGGAAAACAGGCGACCGCTGCAAATTGCGCTTTAATGTTTAGCTGGTCAACTGTATGGTATGGAAACCTTATATACCTGCTAGATGAACTTGTCTCATACTGCTGCCATTGCAAGGCTCAGACACTTTGTAGAGAGGAATTTAACACAACTGCCTCTAGGAGTCGCCAATGGAAATAAAACACACACGCACAAAAAATGTGCGTACGCCAGCCAGAAAGCTGCCGTGAAGCTGCGCACATTCCCACGTTCAGTATATTGTTAGTAAATCTAAACGTGAGCGATTCTGAGCGTGAAACCTGGCGTACGCAAAGTTTTTGTGCGTACGCAGCGTTGATACATGAGGCCCCAGGCCTTTACTAAATTAGATGATGAAATGGCTTTAGCAAAAATTACTTGAGGGAAAACACAATACTGTGTCTATCTTGAAAATTTTCTGATATATTTTTTGTTTGTACTGTAGAGCTGCACAATTAATCGTTAAAAGATCGCAATCTCGATTCGACCCCCTAGACGATCTTAATCCAGCATTTCTACAATTCTGCCAATCATATTTTCGAGTTCAGGAGAGAAGAAAAGGTGGCTGTACGAGTCTTTTCATTGTTTCACATACGTTGCTCAGTGACATGGACACCTCCAAATGATGTTGAATGAGTCACATACTGTGTTTAAAAGGTATAATTCACCTAAAAATGTTATTTTTGTCTTCATATAATGATGTTTTCGCGTCTGGGAAATCACAAGTGACGTGAGCTGCTGACTCTGAGCTGTTATCACAGAGAGGGCGCGCGTGCTGTTTACTTAATGATAGACGCGCACGCGTCTACTTTAGTGAACAGAACCTGCAAATGTTGCGAGTAACAGGTAATACAGTTGTAAATAATATTCTGTTTGTGGCACAGAGTGATCGTTTGGGAGCCGAGCGCGAAGTATGAACAAACACTTAGCAGTCAAAATAAAACCGAAAGTGTGCTTTTCATTTAAATGATCATATCGCATGTTAGAGTTATGATTACGGCAAGCATTTGGATATGTTTTTTTTCTTTCATAGCGAACCCACAGTTGTGCATGAAAATAAATGTTTACAATGTCAGTATAACTACTCTAGCCTATATATTGTTGAATATAATCTGATTATGGCAAATGTCTGATTTTACCAGTGAATAAAATGGTCTAATATGACAGATTGCAAGCATATATCGCAAACATAATAATTCAACATCAGAATTATTATAAGTAGAATCTAATTATTTTTAAAAACAAGTAGACCTCTACATAATATTAATATCGATGTTGTGCCTTGTTTTTGATTTTACCATACCTTTATTTTACATCTACAGAATCGTGAGAAAATTGTGATATTTATTTTAAGCAAAAAAATTGCGATTCTCATTTTAGCCAGAATTGTGCAGCTCTATTGTACTGCAAGCTATTTTTTAGTTAAAGGGATAGTTCACCCAAAATGAAATCGGTCATCATTTACTTACTCTTGTTTGTAACCTGTTTGTGAGCTGGGATTGCAAATATTTTTTTTTACTATGGAAGCCAATAAGTACCATCAACCAGCATTTTGTTTTTTTCAACATATATGTTTTTTTTGTACAGAAGAAATAAACTTATAAAGGTATAAAACCATGTGAGATAGGGTAAATTGTGAGGTAATGTAGATTTTTGGGTAAATTATCCCTTTGAGGCAGCTCATACATGCAATTTAGTGATTTATAAATGTGATTAATTTCTCAGTTTAAAAGGGTGGTCCCCAGTGTATTTTTTAAGCTTGGCTATGTTTATAAGATGCAAAGCAATGTGAGCTAATGCTTTACTTGTAGAAAATCAAGCAATTTTTTCATAAATCTTACTTTGATTATATACAGCTACTCAGCTAACATGAAAATGACTGACATATTTCCTAGTTCCTTTGAAAGGGCTGGCCTCGAGGCTCTGATTGTTCAGCTAACATAATGTGCCGTGATTCGAGGATTGGCTGCATGTCACTTCCCTACAAGCGTGCGCTTTTGCGATTTGTAAACAGTCCAGTCAGAGGCTCAGAGCAGTGTTAGCTGCCTCAATCAGACAGAAATGAAGAGCACACTGCTCATTCCTGCTCTTTAAAATAAAACTTGACTAGTGTCTTTCACATACATTGGTGTTATAAGCATGTTTAAGTAAAGTAAAACATTCTTATATCTTTTGCAAATTTGTTATTTGATATGTAGAACACAGGAAAAGCGGCCGCATAGAGAGATACTGAAGTGCTGGTGAAGATTGTGGGTGCTTACAGATGTTTAACTGATAAATGTGAATTTGATGCTAAATCGTTAGCGGTGCCAAACAGGATTTCATCCTTGCTACAACATACTGTTAATGCTAGAAACTGTGCTAGCATTGATCAATTTAAACTAATAAAAAATATTTACAGGTTGTGACTCACAATCCACAGCTTTGTCTGTTAAACAAGTTTTTAGCCGATTCCAGCTCTGAACTGAGAGGGATTCTGGAAGTTGTCCTTTGTCAAATGCTAGCGCTATACATATATATTTTTTCATATAATTCACTTTAACATACTACAAATTAAACTGTATGCACTTCTCTCTTTGTGTCGTGTACTTTAGAAGCCCAAATACAGCAACAGAAGAAGGAATCTTTGTAGTAAAGCAGCGTTTGGACAGCATTTTAGCTTTTACTGCTTTAACATTACAGCGCCTCTGGCCATGCCTCTTTGCTGTGAGAGTTGTGTGCGTGAGGTGAATGCACTTAACCAGAAGCCTTTCCTGATCTCAATAGCCCGGATGTATTTTTTATTTTTTTTGTCCCCAATTTCGTTCGCTGTATGCTTTGCTAAGCTAACTCTGTAAAAGCCAATGTCTCCTTTTGCAATGAACTTTGAGCGTCTTACATTCAGAGATGTTGTTTATATTTACACAGCTTTATTACACGTAAACTAAAGTTTAAAATACGATATTGTAGTGGATCACCCCTTTAAGATTTGCATGTGTTATTATGTAATGTCTTATTCTGTCTTTTCACAGCTGTAGACAACGGCTGTGTTGCTTATGTTTTAAGAACGGGCTTCTACACCTCTCAGGTGAGGCATTGAATCAAGGAGATGGCGTTTTACTTTTTCTTTCAGGTTGGTTTATTATTAACATCTTAAACTTTGCTGTGTCTATATTTAGGGCAAATTATTGAGAACGATTCTGTTTGGTGTGAAAAGGGTAACGGCCAACAACCTGGAGACTTTCATCTTCATTCTGTTCTTATTGGTTTTTGCCATTGCGGCTGCTGTGTATGTTTGGGTCGAAGGTAAGTTATCTGCACATTTCTTCTTATTGTCAATGTTCAAAACAGTTTCTGTGGATAATATGATAACACGTTTTACCTTCAGCAATATTTGAAAAATAAAATCAGTAGTGTATATCTTAATTCTGTTTAAGTGATATGCCGACAAGTTTTCATTTCACTTGCTTTAATTTGATACAGTTTTACTCTGATCATAAAGAAGAATTATACATATACGCATACCCATATACGCATACCCATGCGCGAGAGATAATAAACATTTTGCCTTGCTAATCATTGACAGATCCTAAAGTAATACAAATGCTTAGGGCAGTGTCTGGCTGATACTTTCATGCCATTCAGAATCTATACAAGACCTTGAACAAGACTTTCAACTAAACTTGTCATGCCAGTTTTTTTTTTATTTATTTATTTATTTTTTTATTTCCACGCATAAACGCTGCCCCCATAACATATATATTACAGGGGGCAACTGACTCAAATCAGAGTCTTGTAGATGTTTTTTTTTTTTTTTGAAGATGCCTGAAATTTCCAACAATTTGGTGCTCTGACCCGGAAAGAGACTGAAAGCACAAATTTACAAGAATACAAATTCTAAGTGTATACTGGCGCTAGCTATTCGAACGTGCCCAGGCACGTTTGACTCCCATTTCCTAGTTCGTTTGACAAGTGTGAGTCCTCCCAACCATTCCCATGCACGGTTCAGTTGGCTGACCCTGGCCCAGATGGAAATTATTTGCCAAGCGTAGTTCGGTTGGGCTTTGGCACGCTACACGTGTAGTGTGAGTGCAAAGCACGCATGAGCATGAAACTGAAGACGCAATGTCACTTTTAAGGGACCGCCCGCACTCACATTATATTCGGGTCTGGGCACGCTTTTGTCATCGATGCTGCGCTGTTCAGTAAACGCTCACGCTCAGCACAGTGGGGATTACTTTAGTTATATCATTTAAAATCGTTTGATATGCAGTGACACACAGTCAAATATTTTGTCGAATAGATCCGCCACTTTTGACGCTCATAAACATTCATAAAGTCCTCGTGCTGCAGGAATAAGGAGTTTTGCTGAGGGGGTTTGCGTCTTTAATAAACTACAACCGTTTTCATTCACTGAACAGTAAAAATGATTAATTAAGCCATATGAAACAGTCCCTTAAAAGTCACATCTCGCTTTCAGTTTCGGGCTTAGGCGCATGTTGCATGTTGCACACCTCAAGCACACCTCAAGTGAGCCTGATTCAGAGCACTCACACTTCTCAAACGATACGGGAAACTGGCTTGGGCATGGTTCGGATAGCATAGTGTGAGGCCCTAAGTGTCCTAGAAGTTGGACTCTACAACATATTCCACCATTACTCGAGTTTGAAAGGAGTCTGTTTCATATAAATGGCATTTTAGTGAGTGATATGTAAGTTTATGTTGTATTTATTTGTGGAGATATATTAGGTTGCACTTTACACTTCTCTATTAAGATGCTATTGCAGCTAATGCCATTGTGTAAAATCATACATGAATGGTCTGAATTAAATAATTTTATCTAATGTATTATTTGTTGCTGTTAATTTCTTTTTATTTTTCAAATGTTGTATAATTATAGAAAAGTAACCACAGAACACAGTTCACGAATGGAGCGCTTTTAACATGCTGGTTATCTAAATCAGCTGTATTAAATAGGGCAGTGGTTCTCAATTCCGGTCCTCAGGGCCCCTGCCCTGCACCTTTTGTATGGCTGTTTCTCAATTTCAAGAACGCAGAGAACAGACTCGTGTTCTTGTGGAGACCGGTCTTGCCAGGTCACCTGGAAAGAACAAACTCAGGAGGCCGTGAGAACAGAGAACCCGTCATGTGAGAAATGAGATGCTGAGTTCTTTCTGATGGTCACATAAATTTTGCTCGTTTTTAACAGAACATTATTTAAACATTACAGCATTAGTACAACGATTTATAGTTTTTTTCCCTTTTCAGTATATATAACATGAACAAAAACCTTACAAATATACTTTGCACAACACAAATAAAACAGATTTTAATTTAAATTTCAACAAATAAACAAGTCTTGATGTGCTTATGCCTTTATTAAGATTTTCATGATAATTTGCTTTAACCGTCTCATTTAGAGAAACTACTGAAATAAATCAGTTAAATCTCTGAACTTTAAAAATATAAATATATATATATATATATATATATATATATATATATATATATATATATATATATATATATATAAAATGCTGTGCTTTCCAACTCCTTTAACCCATAGCAATGACTTCTGAGACATCTAGAGTGAATTCAGTACTGAAGGTTTTGAAACTGAACTTGGGCGGTTGATTACGTTGCACAAGAACACAAGGACGCAAGATCTCTAAAGAATGCATAATGATAACAGCCAATGGCTGCGTCCGAAACTGCATACTTCCATACTATATAGTTCGCTAAAATCAGTATGCCAGCCGAGTAGTATGTTTGAATTCATAGAATTCGAAAATCAGTAGGCGAGAAGTACCCGGATGACTTACTACTTCCGGCGAGATACTGAAGTGCGCATCCCATATACGCTGCGCTATCCCATAATGCCCCATGAGAGAATTCATGAATGGAAGTGAGGCGACACAACTGATGCAGGTAGGTCACGTGACCATGACAAAATGGCGGATGTAGTACGTCCGAATTCCATTCATATTTTTCACATTCAATCTGTATAGAGCGTACTTTTTTTTAACGGCCGAGTAGTACATTTAAATTCAAATGCAGTACCTACTGAGTAGTAGGCGGTTTCGAACGCAGCCTATGTCTTCCTTACTTAACACACCTGATTCAGATCATTGACTGATTAACTGAGATATCCATGAACTGATCCTTGTGTGTCAAATAAGAGAGACACAAAAAAACCAGGGTGGGGGGAGGCACGAGGACCGGAATTGAGAACCACTGACATGGGATGTCTCAATTAGCACCCTTGTTCAGCTGTCTGTATGCTGATCAGGTCAACAGCCATTTTAAGTCTCAACCACAACTGAAATATTTGCACCCTAAATGTCCCACAATGCACTGTGAACTGAACTCAACTTAACTCAGTGTGTTTATAAAAGAAACAGAGACAAAATTTTAAAAAGGCTGAATTTACAAGATTTTTTTTTATTAAGAGCAACAAAAAACAAGTATATTTTTAATGCACTCTGCAATAAAGCTAGTATTGAAGAAGTGTAAAAATCAGGCACAATGATTACTCACAATACGCTTTTAATGGAAGTTTGGAAATGCAAAATATGAACCACGTGACCCAAATCATCAAACGTAATGACAAATAATAGATTAACTATAGCATTTAGCCTAACATTTATAATTGTTTAATGGCTAAAATGTTGCTGGTATATGAAAATTTCTAATCATTTAGCTATAATGTACTCTTAAAACATGGTTAAATTAATATAAAGACGTTATTAGATTTGCTGTTGTATCTAAATTCCAGTTTTGATGATGTATAATAAGGAAGTGCCCACAACCTACAGGTGAACTACCTAGGGAGCTAGGGTGTTGATTGAGATGTGCTTACTATCTATATTTAGTCTCTTAAATCCCTCTTTCTTTCTCTGTGTCTTCCAGGGACAAAGGATCCAAGCAGAAACAAGTATAAGCTGTTTCTGGAGTGCACGCTGATCCTGACGTCAGTGGTTCCTCCTGAATTACCCATAGAACTTTCGCTGGCTGTTAACACATCTCTCATAGCCCTGGCCAAACTCTGTGGGTTGGATTCAGCATTATTATCTGTTTATCACAGGCTTCCTCCTTGCCTTCTCACACTTGCCTCTTATGTGTTTTTCTCACAGATGTGTTTTGCACAGAACCTTTCAGGATCCCCTTTGCTGGGAAAGTGGAGATCTGCTGCTTCGACAAGACCGGCACTCTGACCAGCGACAGCTTGGTGGTCCGTGGAGTCGCAGGGCTCAGGTGATTGAATAGTCTGCTTTTCGCAGACTATTTGAAGGTTAATGTGTACAACTTAAATGAATGCTCATTTCTGGATTTCGAAAACATGTTGATTCAGATGAACATCTACGGGGAGAATAAGATAAATTTAATATATCTTCATTTGTGAGCACACAAACTCTTTGGCATATAATAAAACAAGAGTCTCTGTATAAATATTATTATGAAAGTATCATGTCTAAAATTGATTTCTCTTCTGTAATTTAGCTTCATATCTGAAGTGAATATTGCGCTTTATTCATCATTTTTTTCCAAATATCTTGGTTGGAATCTGTAATTCGTATTTGTCTTTCTTTAGAAAACTATTCACATGTTTTCACTTTACTAAAGTGAGGGGAATTTGATTGGAGATGATTTTTGTCAATATGGATTTAATATTTTGTTATTGGGTAAAATAGGAGTGTGCACTATTGGCAAAGGGGCGGACAATTTCTGATTAATTTCTGGAGCATTTCCATAGGAACTTCATCTTGTGAATTTTGGAAATATTTCATTTGAAGCTTTACAGGAATTTATTTAAATTACTTTGAAATATAGAGGACTTCATATAATCTTTATATGCAAACTTAACTATAAACATTTGGTTGATAAATGTTGTTCAAAATTATGCAGTAAGTGTTTTTTTCAATTATAATTAAGTATCCTGACATAGGCCAAACTTCAATTTATCAAATTCACAGTTTATTCTCATTAGTTCCTATATATTCCTGTTAACTAGGTGTCTGCTGGGTCTTAAAATATCTTAAATTTTGGGCCTTAAAAAGTCCTAAACTTGCAGAAATATTGCGTTGAAGGTCTTAAATAATTTTAAACGGGTCTTAATTTTAAAAGTTGTCAAAGTAAAGTTACCCAAGCGGTCCAACACCCATTCAACCACCAATAATTCATCTAAATAATTATCTTTTTTTTTTTTTTTTTTTTTTTGCTAAGAGATGTTTATTTCACCACAGCTGTTAGACATTAAACAGCAAATTATCTTAATTAAATTCCCTAATTAGGAAAAGAAAACTAAAACCAGTTACACCATTCCTCATGATAATAGCAAAAACTCATCCCTTTACATAAACGTAAAATGGTGTTTAAAAAACTTCAAACTGCTTTTATTCTAGTCGAAATAAAACAAAATAAGACTTTCTCCAGAAGAAAAAATATTATCAGACATACTGTGAAAATTTACTTGCTCTTTTAAACATCATTTGGAAAATATTTAAAAAAGAAAAAAAAGGCAAAGGGTGGCAAATAATTCTGACTTTAACTGTACACAGAGACATTGTTTTTAATAGATAGCATGATTTACTTTGTTTTATTTATTTATTTGTTTATTTTAAGTTTTATTAAAGTAAAATAACAGAGGGTTTATCTTGGTCATGCCAAATGTACCCACATATCAAATAATATGTTTTTAAAAAATGTACATTTCTAATAGGGGTCTAATGTCACAAACCCCGAATGGGAAAGCGAATATTACATTTACTATAGTTTGGTTTTACAAGTGTATAAGTTTACCCAAATATGACAGCTTCTGCATCTGTGAAGGCCAAAAATGTGAAATGTGTGTAATCGTGTTCCTCTTTTCCTCAGAGAGGGGAAACAAGTGATGCCAGTATCAGAGATTCCAGTGGACACTCATCGGGTGGTGGCCACATGTCATTCGCTGGTCACTCTAGATGATGGTCAGCTGGTGGGGGATCCCCTGGAGAAGGCTATGCTGACCGCAGCAGACTGGACGCTCACTAAAGGTCTGATTAATACACTGCACAAGACAAAGGCTGAGCCACACACCATCATCTTTTAGGCTTTATGATTTCCACATTGCTGGACATTTGGATTTTATTGAGGAGATTTATTACTGTGCACTTGCAGTGGCAGGCCTTAGGCTTTAAAACACTCTGCCTTTACATTAGATATGCACAATGTTTTGGTGGTCATATCGATATGGGCTGAAAAATTCTATTTTTAATGTTATCGTTATTGGTCCGATATTAAAATTAGGCCGATATCTTCAAGCCAATAAATTACTTAATTGTACAGAACTGCCTGCCTTGTAAGCAGGATAGAATCTTGTGAGAGTGCGGTTATGAAAACGTCAAATGACTAACAATTGTACATTACTGTAACACAGGGGTGGCCAACCCTGTTCCTGCTTTCAGTTCTTAGTTCTTTCATTTTATTTAAAAATATGTTTAAATTAATTGAATCCAGTTTTGTCATTTAACCTATTATTTTTACACAACAGTTAATTTGCATGTTAATTTGCTATGTGAAGACAAAGAAATTATTTTATTTTTTGCATGCTGATTTATGTGAAATTGTGAAAAGGGCCATATAATCACCTTGTAGTTTTGAAATCATTCCTTTTTTAGGCTACTCTAAGCTCAGGTCACATTTTATGAAGTTTTTAAAATAAAATCAGTTGTATAAAAATATAACATTTTGAAATATTTATGTTTATCGGCTATGGTATATCGGTTATCGGCCTCCATATCTAAAGAGTTATCGGCATCAGCCCAAAAATCCATAGGTCTGATACCAATCAAACAAAGTGGACCAAACAGCTTAAAAAAAACTGTCTTTATAGTCTGGCGTTTAACACTGTGTGTGAGCTGTTATTTTAACTTATTTTATTCATGAATTATATTCCATTTTATTATTGTTTGTTTCTTATTATTTTGATTTTATTGAGCACCAAGGCTTCTAGGCATGGAATGAACAAGTTGGCTTCACTTTGCAACATCTATCTTTTCTGTTTTTCAAAAATGACCCTCTTTTAGAGTTGCTCAAAGAGATGCTTAACTAAATAATTCCCCATATGTGTTTGATTGGATGGAGATCAGGAGACATATTTATAATAATAATATTAACATTTTACATAAAAGCTTTATTTCTTCATGTCTTTCTTTAACAGATAACACTGGAAAAATACTATTATAACATATAATACTGCAACAAAAAGTGTACTGTCCGTCTGTTATCAACACCCCTTTTTGAAAGTCATGTTCATTTAATTTACCATGTTAGTATTAGTTTGAATTATGCTAGTGCACGGGTGGCCAACCCTGTTCCTGAAGAGCCACCTTCCTGCAGATTTCAGTTGCTACCGTATCAAAACACACCTGCCTGTAATTATCACGTGGTGTTCAGGTCCAAATTAATTGGTTTAGGTGTGTTTGATATGGGTTGCAACTGAAATCTGCAAGAAGGAGAGTCTCCAGGAACAGGGTTGGCCACCCCTGTGCTAGTGCGTAAACTATTAAATTAAAGTGATTTCACCTAAAGGTGATAGTTTCAAGGAAATATAATATATTAAACATTTAGTCTGTGAAATAAACCATTAAAAGTGCTAACGATCACCAGTCTTGTGATTGTAAGTGTTGTATTGTCATCTTTCAGGTTGTATTTCAGTTTTAATGCGCTTTTCAAATAAATAAATAAATAGAAAACAAAACAAAGTAGCTTCTTGCCATCGTGACAGATCCAATAGACTGGTTGATCGCTTTCACTCCAAAATGCTGGGTACAGCTGTTGCAATGAAACCTGAACTCTGTTGAGTGTCGCCTCTTGCTGATTCTTAGCTCTTTGTTATTATTAAGATAATCTAAAATCAGTGATCACTTATTTAAAAAAAACAAGTCATAGAAAAGATCGATACTTCAATTTAAGGATCGATGCATTACATAATATCAATACTTTAGGATTATCCGCGAGTAATAGTGATTTATGACATGTTTTCTTTTGGTCTGTTTAGATGAGAAGGTGTTTGCTCGCAGCATAAAGACTCCAGGGCTGAAGATCCATCAGAGGTTTCACTTCACCAGCGCTCTGAAGAGGATGTCTGTGCTGGCGTCATATGAGCGCATGGGCTCCACCGAGCTCTGCTACATCTCTACTGTGAAAGGAGCCCCGGAGACCCTCAGAAACATGGTGAGCAGATCTGTTGCTCTTTAGCTGGATTATGTCCAACACACGCCACACACATCTGCTCTGCTTTTGACAAAAACTGAAAGAAAACCCTGACGTGCACATTCTTTAGCTAGCAAGAGACGCTCCTCCCTGATTTAACTAGCTGTTAAACTTTACCCTGAGTATACAGTGTTGGGTAAGTTACTTCAAAAAATAAAGTATTTAAAGTGATAGCTCACTCAAAAATAAACTTACTTATTTACTCTCTCAAAACGTATATAAGCTTCTGTCTTCTGTTGAACACTGAAGATATTTTGAAGAATGTTGGAAACCTTGTTACTTTTGACTTCATAGTATTTGTTTTCCTACTATGGATGTTGATGGTTACAGTTTTCAGCTTTATTTATTAGATCTTGTTATGTGTTCAGCAGAGTAAAGAAACATATAAAGGTTTTGAACCACCTGAGGGAGAGTAAATAGGTGATACACTGCACATTTTTGGTGAATGAATCTATTCATTTACTTGTGTAAATGTATGTTTATTCAGGTTTTTTTATTAATTTCACTAATATTAATGACAAATATTAAAACGTTCATATCATTTATTTACAATACAGTTTGTAAAGTAATATTTTCTGTCTTTTAGTAGATAATATATGAGAGACTTGCTTTGCTTATCAAATAAGTGGGTCTACTTGGGTTTGCAATGTAAACATTAAATAAAAAGCAATTATTTTTATTTCATATATAAAGTTTTTAGTTATGATACTATCAAAATCATTCAGATTTATTACAATATTCCCCACAGAAATAACACAAAATGTCTGCTGATTCTGTCTGGCTCTACTGATTACTAATTCTATCAGTTAAATTATACCTAAATATTCTAATTGCTTTGTATGAAAAGTAATTGAATTGCTTCTCTACATAAAATACTACATAAAGTCCCTATAAATCGAAAAACAATAGAAATGGCATTTTTAAAATTTCTTTAAATGTGATTCAAACATGGCCTGTAGCATGGCAGTAGCTACAAATACCGTAAAATGTAACCATCCAGTATATCAAAACAAATTAGTGACATTCTTTTTTTATGAATACTATATATACTATATACTGTCAATAATTTCTTATTATATTCTACAAGACTATTAGTGTTTTTTTTTTTTTATAAATATGAGAAGATTTCTGTACTGAGAGCACTTTGATTGATGTTTTTAATGCCGAGTTCAGACTGCTTGATTTTCAAAGTAGTCGTGTCACATGTTTTCACACTGTGTGACTATCTGGGCTAGCGTTTTGTCGCTACTTTCTTTACATTGCATGATGGATTGGCGACAGGGACTTTCACATTGCATGACTTTACAATAGGAAGAATCGTCGACAACTTAATAATTATTATTAATTATAATAATTATTATTATTAACTTTATAATGAGAAAGAAGCCTTTAATAGGATAGAAAATGTACATATTTGCTCACCTGGGTTTAAAGTGAATTAGCGATTTTTCCTCAACTTTCTTTTTTAACTTTCTGTATAAAACGTCAAACGGACACGGGTGCTCCTGTCAAACCTCCACTAGTTTTTCCTCTATTTCTTGGGTCCGAATAATCTGAAAATGAGCGCTTTTAAGTTCTCCCTCAACCTTTAGCTGGCATGCAGGTACAAACACACACACACCAGCGAATGCTGCTCTCTTATTGGCTGTAGGTCATCACCGATGTTATTTTCAGTCAAAACTCATTTCACACGGCATGATTTGAATCACCGACAGCTTCAGTTATTTCGCACACCAAATATCTCACAGGCATTGCCGACTCATCAGCGATTCTCTCAGATTGCGTCTTTGATGCTTCATACTGTGTGATTGTTGCTCACGTGCACGAGCACTGATTTGCCAGGCATTTGTTGGCAATTTCTCAAAACCTGTCGGCGAGTCAAAATCGGGGTTAAAATCATGCAGTTTGAACTCTTTGCAGTTTGAAATTTATCCCAGGAAGAATTTTTTTGTTTTCTTTAAGAATACTCTTAAACTGAAAAATTATATAATGCTTTTTTTGTATCATCTCTTATTCAATTAAGTTGTTATGTTTATGTAATATGTTTTCATCTGGATTATCTTGCCATGATATAGCCATAAATAGTTGATGTTTCAAGAAATATGCAAATAAACAAACAAACAAACAAGTCATAATTATGTGCAATTGTCTGACAATTTTAGGCAGCTTTAGTTAAAAATATAATTATTCTTGAAGTAAATTCAATTATTCTACTTCTGTGAATTAATTCATACTGGTAAATTCTAAACAAAACATGAATTTGTTTAGTTTGTCTGAAAAAAAAAAAAAACTTAGGTAAATATCATTAGCTCCCTTAGATTCTTTTCTATTTTTATTAGCTACAGAACAAACCACTGTTGTCCAATGAATTGGCCTGTCTTGTTAACCTGACTAACCTGTATAGGCCTTTAAAGCACACCTTTAAGCTGAATACTAGTATATTTTGCAAAATAACTAGATAAATATTATGTATAGGGTGTATGCACAGCTAGTGTTTCGTTCCATACCGATAAACTTCCAGTGGTCGGTTAATGTGATTGTTTTTTTTTTTTTTTTTTTTTTTTCCACATTTAAACGGTTTCTTTTACAGCATCGATGTTGTAATGTTATCAAAATACAATCAGTTAAATAGACTTAAGCATTTATTTAGTTGTTCAAGCATATAACGAGATGAAAAGCTGTTTACACGCACACGCTCGTCAGGAGCAGCAGGCTGAAACGCCATTGAAAGTACTGGGGTAAAATAAATGTTCATATTTTAAAGACATGGTGAGGGAACCGTTTGACCCAGATTACTGAACAATTATAAGTCCTTTAGCATAATAATGTATATACCCTATTGTCATCATGGCAAAGACATTTTGTTATTAGAATGAAAGAAATTTATTATTAGAAATTTGTTTTTAGAACTGTTATAAAATATTTTTCTCCATTAAAAATTACTTGAGTTAAAATTTCAAAGGGTTAATAATTTTGTCTTCAACTCTGTCACTCACGTTGCAAATAACAAACAAACTAAAACACCTTGAAATGAAATCCCCCACAATAAGAGATATTTTAAATCATTATTGAACACATTGAGTAGTTGCTTGAGATTGTGTAGATTGGGTCAAAAATAAGGTTTTATTTATTTGTGTTTATAATGTAATGTTGCTGATTTGCAGTTCTCGGAGTGTCCGGCCAGCTATGACGAGGTGCACAGAGAGATGTCCCGCGAGGGAGCCCGAGTGCTGGCGCTGGGATATAAAGAGATGGGCCACCTGAGCCATCAGCAGGTATTGACCAGCGAGTAAAATACTGATCACCAGCTTTACGGTTTCTCTGTGGTTTATTCTGCTCTATTGCTCTATGTGTGTGTGTGTCTGTGTTTAGGTGAGAGAGGTGAGCCGTGAGCAGCTGGAGTGTGACCTGCGCTTTGCTGGATTCATGGTCGTGTCTTGTCCTCTCAAGTCAGACAGCAAAGCAGTGATCAGAGAAATACAAGAGGCATCACACCATGTGAGTGTGTTATCGCTGTATGCTAGCTTGTGTGTGTTTTCAAATGCATTATAGGCACAGTATGATCTAATTTGTTCATTAAAACATGCAAAAAACACCAATACATTTAGAAATACGCCGGTAAAAGTTTCTGACGGTATGATAACCTTGGATAAAAATATCACAGTTTTACTTTTAAAAACGTATTTTTTCCCCCCATTGATCACAATAGATTTTATTTTAGAAAAACATGTATTATATTTTGTAAAGGTGAACTTGTCAGGCTAAATAATTAAAATAAAGCATTGACCTCTGCTATCTTCATTAGTTTCAAAGACACAGCTTTCTTTACAACACACACAAAAAAGAAAACCTTATACCATATACCGTATACCAGGGCTATACAATTGACGGCCCACGGACCGAACCCTGCCCCCGAGGCAGTTTGTTTTGGCCCTCCAAATAGTGTGACCAAGATATCAAAAATAAATTTAGTGCTGTCAAAAAACGGCCGCTATAGTTATGAAGTGACGTGCGTCTGTTCAATACAGCGCGAGCTGCAGAGGTTGCGCAGAGCATAAGTTACTATAAGCGAGTGGTCTGGACAGCTGAAAACATTTGGAAATGTTTTGTAGAAAATGCCTTTTTGTACAGTGCACTGATATCGTTAACAAGGATGCAATGATAGCTGATTTCACTATTAACTATGCTTTAATTCGTCACAGTTAATGAATTGTAAAGGCTTCTCTAAGCCACTTTTCTGTTGCACGGAATGTTATGGCATGTTGCCACCTGTGCGCTAGTTTAAAGTTCCAAGCAGGCTATGTACACCGAGGCTACTACGCACGCATACTGGATTAACTATAGCAGCGGCCGTTCCCATATCACGTCTTTTCTGCTTACAAGTTTGTTATTGCTAATGTAAGAATGACAATATGCATGCACAAGCGGAGCAACGCTCTAGCGTCTTTCCAGGCGCACGCAGTAGAAAACATCTCACAGTGTGTTGTGCGTGCCTTTCAATGCAATGTAAACAAATATATATGTTAGACGAATTATTAAAATGATTAACAACAGTTAATCTAAATAGCTACTTACCTAATAAAAAGCTTGAATTTACATTAGACGTGATAACTGTGAAACCATGATTATTCTTCAGACTTTATAATCGTCAACCAAAATCTATAATCGTTGCATCCCTAATTGTTAACATAACATATGAATGTGTCTGAATGTAGAAAAGTCATACTTTAGCAATGCACTGCTTTTGTTGTGCTCTGAAATACATTTGAATGTTTGTGTAAAAAAAAAAAGTCAATTGGACAATGCAGTGATATTATGTTGTTTTAAAATGCAATATATTCACATTTTATTGTAGAAAACGCCAACGTGGGTGTCTTTATGAGCACAAATACAGCATATGGGGTCTTATATGAGGTTGTGTCATCCCTCATATTGCAAGTCAAAACTCTACGGCCCTTCGTTTGGGATGCTTTTCATGAACCGGCCACCATGACAAACTACCTGCTGTATACCTTATGATCGGCATAACAAAAAATTCTGTCGGTTTTAAAGCCTCGACTTTTCCAAACCGCGGAAAACCTTGAAACTGGTTATCATTCCATACCTTAATACGATACCTTGAACAATATCTGTTTTCGATACCATGAGGAAAAAATACACTGCATTTCATTCAAAGTATACAATTTCAGATTTTTAGATAAACACGGCTCGAATATAAGAATGAGGCATATTTGTAAGCCTATGCAGTCGTTTCTTGTTTTTCTGATTAAAACAAAAGTTTTATCTTAATATTACCATTATTTACAGATCTGATGCAAATATTTTTACTAACTCGTACTTAAGTGTATTAATACTTTAACAGATAAATTGCATATTACTCATTAGTCATAAATACATAAACAGGTTTTTTGGCATTTATTTCGCAAACTCAGGCTTGTGGAAGGTCTAACATTTGCTCCAATCTCTGTCCATAGGTTGTAATGATCACAGGTGACAACCCTCTAACAGCGTGTCACGTGGCCAGAGAACTGCATTTCATCCAGAAAGAGCACACATTGATCCTGCAGCAGAGCTCCAGTCAAGGTGTGTGTGACATCTCTCTTACAGCTCCAGAGAGAAAAGAGCTTGACTAACATGCTTTAAAGTGCTGCTATTGTGTATATAATATTTCACATATCTTGTCACTGTTTGGATAAGTGTTTGGATTTGTTTTCCTTTTTAAAAAAAAAAAAACATTTACTTTTTACTAACATATTTATTTAGGTGTACTATTTTTTTTCTGATCTGTTATTTAGTTAAATCAGCTCCAGATTCACCTTTGGTACTGACTAATCCTAATGTATTGGCAAAATATGATATTGTAAAGCATCCTGTAAAAACTATTAATTTAAAAGAGAGCTCTAATGAGTAATGAGTACATCCCTCATAGAGCTCTCTTTTAAATTAACATTTTCAACAGGATGTAGCACTGTATAGATGTCTAAACGTTATTAAATATTATAGAGATTATATTAGTTTTTTAATAGAAATGTTTAAAAGATGTGAACTTTATTTATTTATTTTTATATTTGTTATTGATTTTTTTTTATTTATACCAGAGCTTTTATTTATCAGACCTGAGTGTTTTTAAATCATCACTCACACCTTACTTATTAGCCTTTATGTGCTTTTTTTTTTTAAATGTCTTTGATCTTATATATTTTTTTATGATGTTATTATTATAATTTATTATTTTTATTATAATTGGTTATCTATTTATATTATCATAATTTTTTATAATTTTATTATCAATTGTTTTTAGTTCAGTCTATGCATTTATTCCTGCATGTATCTTAACTTTACTTTTAATGTGCATTTAAAGCGCTTTTGACATGCTTCTTTTAAAGGCGATATATAAAATAAAGTTAGTGTTATTATTGTTACTATTGTATCAGTATTAATACAGTTACTTTTTTGTTTTTATTTGTTGATTTTTTTTTTATTAATATCACGCAAAGAGGTACACGAGTAAATGCCATTCAAATGCATTTATTAAGAAGCTAAACTGTTTTGTTTATGAGTGAATATAACCAATTCTGCTAATAATAAGTAAATAAGTAAATCTCATTTATTTTTTGTTTTTGTGATGTGTGTTTGACAGCTGAATGGCAGTGGGTGTCTATCGACGGCAGTGTGTCTCTTCCTCTTCCTCCATCTTCAGTGTCAGAACTGATTCAGCGGTACGACCTCTGTGTGACCGGAGAGGGACTGGCCAGGCTGAAGTTTGACCCGCAGCTGCTCAGCGCTTTGCTTCCTCACGTGCGCGTCTTTGCTCGTGTCAGCCCTAAACAGAAGGTCAGATTCACATATCTGAGAAGCCTGTGCTGACAGCTGAATTATCAGTAGATCATAGTATTTTAAAAGTTCTTGTCTAGACATGGGAAAGTTAGGGAGTTTTATATTTGTATTGGTCTGTCATGGAATATCAGGGAAAATATATTTACTACCTATTTATTTAAATGCATTTTTTCTGGACCATTTTTAGGGTTTTACCAAGTTGTTTCAAGTGTTTTGCCAATTGTTATGGTTAGGCTTTTTTACTGCCATTGTATTCCTTTTTCCACTTAGAAACTGACAATCAAGTGCAGTCACTAGGCCTTACATGTAAAAAAACAGTGTTCAAACGGTCATATAAAACCTGGAAAAGTCATGGAATTTTGACATGGCATTTTCCAGGCCTGGAAATGTTTTGGAAAAACAGGAAACCCACAAAGTTTTGGAAAAGTCATGGAAAACAGATATATGTATACTTGAATATAGGTTATTTACTTCTGTTCTATGCTTGGCCAATCACATGCTCTCACATTATTAGTGCGGTGTAAGCATTATCTAAATCAATTTTACATAGTTATAAATATAAATTGAACGAAATAGATTGTTGCGTGTTTTACGATATGCTGTAATAAATTTGAACATGCATTGTTTTTCTTTTAGCATGCATATGTACATTGTACATTGCATGAAACATTAGGTCATGAAAATGTACTTAAAAGTCTTGTAAAAAATCATGAAAGAGTCATGAAATTTTTGTAGTAAAAATGTGTAAGAACCCTGTAAAAACGGTTTTTGGCATTTTTTTTTAATTATTTAATTTTGTAGTTTTTTTGTGTCTGCTCAGTGCTCCTACATTTTTTGCAAAAGAAAATAGTTTTTTTGCAGGCTAAAGTGCCTGATTTTGCTGTGATTTCTCACAATTTATGGCAACATTTACAGCATTTCCTGTGTGGTTTTGCTGTGCAATTTTGTGTGTATTTTCACATCTTAGTTCTTCTTTTTACCTCAAGAACCATTGGTTCCTCTATGACAGTGGTCACCAAACTTATCCTGAAGGGCCGGTGTCCTGCAGGTTTTAGCTCCAACCCTAATCAAACACACCTGAACAAGCTAATCAAGGTCTTACTAGGTATACTTGAAACATCCAGGCAGATGTGTTGAGGCAAGTTGGAGCTAAATCCTGCAGGGACTGAGATTGGTGACCCCTGCTCTATGACAACATGAGGTATTACACACACCAAATAAGCAATTTCTTTTTGCAATTTAAATGCATAAATAAATGGACAAAACAAAAACATATGAATTGTCAGATACAGAAAACTTTTACTTTAAGGACTTTTTTTTTTTACAGTGTTTCTAAAATGTGTGATACATCTGCATGAATAAAAAAATGTTAAGCTTCTCCAAATGTTCCGTTAACAATAACATTTGCAGATTTACGTAACACTAGAAGGACCTCCCATCAAGATGACTGTCTGTTTTACTGTTCATTACAGGCAGAGTTTGAATTGCAACGCTGTTTGGGGGGATTGACCCCCCCTAATTTAACACTTTATCCCACCTGAAGGACATCAAAACAAGATGCATTGGGGTCAGCTCTTTATATAGTGAGAGACTGTTTTCTCTGACATGTATCTTAAATAATGATGTTAATAATTAAACTGTTAGATAATTTTAATCTACACTGATCACCCCTTTAAGGGTCTATACTCTTGTGAATGCATAATCACGCTAATCAAGGCAAGTCTAGTTTATTTATATAGGACATTTCATACACAATGGTAATTCAAAGTGCTTTACATAAACAAGAATAAAAGCAACAGGAAAAAAAACAAATCTAAGAATAAAAACAGATTAAAATGTGTTAAAACAGGTTTTAAATGAATACAAAAAGAAAAAATATAGTAGTGTGATTTGTGGGATGTAGCACAGTGTTCATTCAGTAAAGGCACAGCTAAACAGATGATTTGAATGTTGGAGCATCAGTCAGTCTATATCAGGGGTGGCCAACCCTGTTCCTGGAGAGCCACCTTCCTGCAGATTTCAGTTGCTTCCCATATCAAACACACCTGAACCAATTAATTAGGACCTGAACACCATGTGATAATTTCAGGCAGGTGTGTTTGATTTGTGTTGCAACTGAAATCTGCATGAAGGTGGCTCTCCAGAAACAGGGTTGGCCACCCCTGGTCTATATAGACATTGTAAGTGTTCACAAGACATTTTTCTTGTAAAATAGGTGTTTGTATCTACATTTAGTCTAAAAGTCAAGTAAAATAAAAAACATAGTTTGTGAAGCTTTTAAATGTAGCCTTTTATTCAGTGAAAGTCAGTGAAAAATCAGGGAATTTGAAGTCGAGTTTTTAGAGTGGGAACCCTGTGAACTGTTCATCATGGTATTCTGTGTGTTTTTTTTTGTGTGTGTGCAGGAGTTTGTCATAACTAGTCTGAAGGGACTGGGTTTTGTTACGCTGATGTGTGGTGACGGCACAAATGACGTTGGCGCACTCAAACATGCACACATAGGTGAGTAATTGAACTTCTTAAAGAGTCACGTTTAAAAGGGACCGTTCATCCAAAAATGCAAGCTCTTTCATATTTTTCTCAGCTTTGAGTTTTCATTTACCTGTTTGATTTACTTTCTTCTGCTGAACACAAAAGAAGATGGTCTGAAAAATGTTGAAAACCATATTTTCCCTGCTATGGAAAGCATAATGTATAGGTTTCCTGTGTTCTTCAAAATATCTTCTTTGTGTTCAGCAGATGAAAAAACTCAAACAGGTTTGAAACAAGTAGAGGATGACTAGATGATCCCCAATTGCTAACATGTATTGGATTATTCCATGTGTTTTTAAAAAATACATATTTGTAACAACGTGTTTATATACAGTTAAAGTCAGAATTATTCGTCCCCCTTTTATTTATTTATTTTAATTTTTTTTAAATATTTCCCAAATGATGTTTCTTCAAAAGGAACTGTGTATAGTTTCAGAACTGTAGTGTCCATTGATTCCCCTACGTAAATAAAGTAAATATGATTAGAATTGGCATACAAGTGAATAGTGTAAATCACGGATTGTCAAGCGGTGGGCGAGATTAAAATTAACTTGTGACATTGTACTATAATTTTTGGATTGCATTATAATATGATTTCTTCAAACACGGAGCAAAAACAGCATTATGATCATGTACACTCATGTCTGTTCATTTACAAACTATGCGTGAAGTTAAAGTCTTTCTTTGTGTATTTTAGTGTGAACTATTTAATATATCCACATATTCAACCAAATTAATGTCCTGTGAGAGTTTTATAACAGACGCATGCCCATACAGGAGGAGGATCTAGCGAGGCTCAATGGTGTCTCTTTCATAGGCTGTAAAATAAACTTGCAAATGAGCTTCAGACACGCTCTAGCGGAGCTGTTCACTGTTCCGGTCAGCCATCTCCCAATCATATCCAGTTGCAAACTCAACCGTCATCAGATCGACGCGTTTTAGGGTGTTTTACTGTATTTTACATTTGTCTGCATATTTTTGAAAAGTAGATATTTAATAGTAGAGATTCTGTCAGTCCAGTTTAAAGCAGAAGCTGGTCTTTTGCAATCTCCCTGTTGAGTATGTGAATGTTTAAAAAAAAATAATAAATAAAATGATGTATAATATAGCTTTAGTTTTATATATATTTAGATAAAATATTTTTTAGAAAATCTGATTATAGAAAATATTAGAAAGCACAACAAATGTATAATATATATTTGCTAATATAATATAATATTTGGGTGAGGCAGTGGCGCTGTAGGTAGTGCTGTTGCCTCACAGCAAGAAGGTCGCTGGTGCGAACCTCGGCTCAGTCTGCGTTTCTGTGTGGAGTTTGCATGTTCTCCCTGCCTTCGCGTGGGTTTCCTCCAGGTCCAAAGACATGCGGTACAGGTGAATTATGCAGACAATATTGTCCATAGTGTATGAGTGTGTGTGTGAATGTGTGTGTGAGTGTGTGAATGTTTCCCAGAGATGGGTTGCGGCTGGAAGGGCATCCGCTGCGTAAAAACTTGCTAGATAAGTTGGTGGTTCATTCCCCTGTGGCGACCCCAGATTAATAAAGGGACTAAGCCGACAAGAAAATTAATGAATGAATGAATATAATATTTGTTAATAAATAAAGGTTTTATGTCAGACAGATGGGCCTTCAAAAATTAAACAGAGAAAGAAGTGGTCCCCGAAGTGAAAAAGGTTGAGGACCCCTGGTGTAAATAACGAATAATGAAGTTTACAAGAGCTGAATTTTCTTCTGCATTCCAATATTTTCACCTGTAAATTCATGTTCTTATTCCTATTATTTTCTAGTTGGTTGTAATTTGGAATTAATATACGAGTACGGTCCGTTTTCCTTTACGATTTTATATTTACTGATGCGTAAATTTTATTTACACACAAAATGTTTATGACAGTAATTTTTAGTGACAATCCGTAGGCGTGCTGTTATCTGGATCTTTACTGTAAAGCAGATGTACACATAAGATGTCCTCTGTTTCTTAGGCGTGGCCTTGTTAGCGAATGCTCCTGAGCGGATGCCTGAGAAGAAGAAAAGGAACAAAGAGAAAGAGTATTCATCTGGAGAGTCCAGACCTGGACCCCCTGTCCCAACCTCAGGAGGCAAACTGAGCTCCCGCGCAGCCAGACAGAGACTCATGGCCCAGAGAGAGGAGCAGCTTGCTGCACAGAAGGTGCTTCATCTTCTTTAAATTTAAGCTTTTGTATTTCTTGACATGTTTTCTCTATATACATAACCCTGTTCTGTGTTAATGACTTGTGTCATAGGAGAGGATCAGTCAGGTGCTGCGGGAGTTAGAAGAGGACCAAATTCAGGTGGTCAAACTGGGTGATGCCTCCATTGCTGCTCCGTTCACCTCCAAACTGTCCTCCATACAGTGCAGTAAGTCGCTGCTCTCATTTAGCCTGCAGATATTTGGCTCCACACTGAAATTCGTGGAGTTTTTATCCCATAAAACTTATGTTGGTTATGTTGTGTAAATGAATACTCAAAATACATCAATGTTGCTGTAATTTTTTGTAAAAACAATAAATAACAGGCTACGCAATTTAACGGTCACACTAAACTCTATTACAACAATTTGCTAATAAAATGATCATGACAGGAGGATGGTATCGAAATTATATCTAATTGTCTTTCTGTTTTGTTTTGGTGTAAATTAAAACATTATTGAAAAATGGTTGCAAATTTTAGGGCTGCTCGAGGGTTTTCTGTAGCATGAAGATGGGTTAGCTGGCTAGCCAGTTAAGTTTCAGATTAGTTTGCACCAATCTTGGGTTTCACAGAACATGAAGTCAGCTTGACTTTAATCACTCTTTGTTTCCATGCTATTATGGATCAGCTCTGCTAAGCTGCCTTCATGGTGCCTAAAACTCAGAATTTGTGCAAACTTAACTGGCTAGCCTGCTAATCTGGCTCCATGGTCTACCAGTAGTCAATTTTTAACATTAGTGGACTGGCACGTGTATTAATAAACTATTTACATGTATAGTTCATCTAAAATGAAAAGTTGCTGTTAATTTGTCACTTTTTTTTCTTAAGTAAAACATTAAGGATTTCTAGCTGAATCCTTGGTCCATGGTGATTCATATAATGGGAGTAAATGATCACCTTTTTTGTTGTCTTTTGTTTAAATTAAATTTAAAAAGTAACATGCAAACAAGTCCAAATCAGTAGGCATGGCTCCTGACGAACAACTAAGGTCTTATGAAGCAAAACAATCATTTTGTGTAGGAAATTGATCATTATTTATAGTATTATTAGTAGTGCTGTCAAAATTAGTGCATTAACGCATGCGATTAATTTGAAATAATCAATGCGTTAATACAAATTGATGCAAATAACGCAGTTGCAGGTTTTTTTTTATTTCCTGTTGTGGTGGACCTGTTCAACATGCAAAGAAATATGGATAAGACCAAGGAATCACTTTTTGAAGGCAAGTTTCAGTATAAAACAATTAATGTCGCATCACAAGGCTATCCAGAGCAATCATGCGTGTTGAATCTGAAGGGAGTCGCTTCGACGCGTTTTGTGTGTGTGCATAGGTTAAGTGACTTGGGGCGTGCGTGCTCGAGACGTACCTGAAGAGCGGTGGGGGTGAGTTGCGCGCAATGTACCTGAAGAGCTAGTAGGGATGCGGTGGAGAGGGGTGTGCAACGTATATAAGGATTGGGGCGAAGACGCTCGATTTCCAGGAGATTATTATTCATTTACGGCCATACGGGAGTCTGTGCATTTGCAAGATAGTCCCGCAACTTCTGGGAGACTTGGGATGTCTGGACTAGACTGTCTGAGCACCTGGATGAATGTAAAAGAGGACTGAGCAAAAGTGTTTCTACTTTATAATTAATGTTTTCAACTCACAGCAATACAACTTTACAATGTTTGCAATTGTTTGTATTCAATACTTTATTATTTTTAATATATATATTTTTTCAATTTCCATATCTGCAATGCCTGTATTTTGTTTTTGTTTTTGTTTTTTTGTTTTTTGTTTTTTGCAGTTCACTTGGAATCCAACCTGAAAATCAATTTTTTCTTGATTTTAATTTTTTAATTGATTGTTTTGAAATTCAAATGGCATCAACATGCCTGTGTTTTTATTTCTGTAATAAATATGGCTGTCAAGCCAGGATCTTGATGGTTTATTGTTGGTATGTTGTTTACATGAAGACATCTGTGTAACAAGTTAAACAAAAATTCTATTAAACAAATATAATTTTAATATAAATAGTTTTGTCTTGCGTTTGCATTAATTTTACATATATATACAAAATTACAATTTTTAGTCTTTTAAATGTAATTAATCGCGATTAATTTTCAAGATAAAAGTGTGATTAATTAGTTATTTTTTTTTAATCGATTGACAGCATTAATTATTAGCTTTACTCTACATCATCACCTTATAGTGCACACTCGCGCATCAAATGACCAGAAGCTTGCGCTCTCTACACCTCTATGCACAATTAAATAAAATAAATTTACAAAATTTTGGTCAGTCAAACCTCTTCTCTTCGACTAAAGCCTGGCTCACACTCTGTGTTTCCCTTTTATTAATTTTTTGAACTAAACAATTGTAGCATGTCAGACTGCACAAACATGATTCTCATGTCACACTGTAAGATTACAGTTAAAGTTATAAAGTTTGACGTTATTCATCCATGACACTTTCAATATTATGCGTTTAAATATGAAACCTCATGGCAAATCTAAACAAACTGTAGCGCCAATTTCGCTCGCAGCGCACCTCAATAAAACCAGAACTAAACAGTTTTCACGTTTACCCACTCTGGTTTGAAGATGTCTTGCTGATTGTGTCATCAGATTCAGCGATCCTATTGGTTCTTGGTTTGACGCAGCTGAAATCACACTGCAGGAAAGAGTCTGAAATCTTCAGACACTGCCAGAACTTCATCTGAGGCCAAATCGGATCAGAACGACCATTAAGCAACGATCTGGGAGCATGTCAAACTAACAATCAGTGATCACAGATTTTACTCTAGGATAACAGGAATCTTTTAGGATTTCCCAAATTTGTCTCAGGCGACCAAATCATGGCTGAAATCAAAGTGTGAGCAGAGCTTAACAGTTAGTTAACTATTACTGTGTGTTTGAGAGTGTCAAAGTAAGCAGAAGTCATTCATTGTTAGCAGGTGGCGAGTTTGTAATGTAGGATCCGTTCAAACTATTATTAACATGAAGACTATTAAACGTCTTCTATAAACAGCTTGTTGAAATTAGACTAGCACTTTAAATTGAGCACAAAAGCTTCACTAAACAAACGGTTTTTGATTGGTTTAATTTGAAAACATGTAAACATATTGGATCATCACCGTTGGCAGGGCGGTAATGGTCTCATACGCACGGTTTGGGATCAGCCCTAGTTAGTGTGCACTATATGAAAATAGAACATCATCTCTAAATGTGTCCGGATTATTAGTCGTGCTAATGTTTGACCTTATGCTGTGCTCTGTGTGTGTGTTTTTCCAGTCTGTCACGTGATCAAGCAGGGCCGCTGTACTCTGGTCACCACACTGCAGATGTTCAAGATCCTGGCGCTGAACGCTCTGATTCTGGCCTACAGTCAGTCCGTGCTTTACCTAGAGGGCGTCAAATTCAGTGACTTCCAGGCCACTCTTCAGGGCCTGCTGCTGGCCGGCTGCTTCCTCTTCATCTCGCGCTCAAAGGTATAATCTCAATCAGGGCTTGACATTCACTTTTTTTTACTCACCAGCCTCTGCGGCTCGTCATTTTCCAACTTCACTAGCCACTTGACATTTTCACAAGCCAAAGTTGTTGTTGGGAGAATATATTTTATGTGCTCAAATTTTACTTTTAAATTTTTAAAAAGTACTTTGATTACTTCAAATTTGACTTGTTTTACTCTGACCACCCAAATTATGATACACATAGTAACCTACACCAGCGGGTATATAGTAGTCAACATTTGAAGTGGACTAAAACCTTTGATCAATTTGGCCTAAAGCAAAAATAATAGCCATTCTTGTCTTAGGACAACTTTGATTAACTTTTTTTTAATCGCTTTTAGTTTTAACTAAACTTTTATTTGTTTATTTTTATTGTGTGCCCACATTCACAAAATATTAACATCAAAATGTAGAAATGTGTTACAGAGTGTACAGTCTTCAAAATGGAAAGTAACAAAAAAATCATTTAAAAAACAATTAAATAGGTAAAAAATAAAGTACAACCACACCATTTCAGAGCAGTCTTTATGTGGAGGTTGTAACAAAAATTGTAAATGAATGACAAGGATCCTGTGTTAGTTTGAGAAAGCTCTTTTGTGTATTGCCAAAGGGGTTTCCAAATTGACCAAAATCTGTCTGATATTTTGTTTGTCATGGATAAGTTTTTCGAATGGCAGCCTTGTAGCAATTGGTGATATCCACATTTTGAAAGATGGAGCCTGTGATGCAGACCATGTCGTAAATTTTGACGTCTCATCAATTACAAATTATCAGACCGGAGGTTTTGAATATCAGTAAATAGACTTTATTCTCCATAATAAAGCCGAGAAAGAGCAGAGCAGACCCCAGAGCATTCTGAAGTCTCTCCTGGACACCTTCTGAAGTATCTGTGTTTGTTACAATTTTTATACAGGATTATCTGACACACCCCTAAGTCTCTTTTTAACTCTTGACCATTTTTGAATAGGTTTTTAGTCTAAGGGGTCCTGCTATTCTTGGCTCTCAGCCCACTAGCTCATGTCAACAGAGATGTTACAGGTCTATGTCAGCAAAGTATAGATGCAACTTATGCAAAGAAACTAAGTGTTTACATACATTGTTATGATAGGATAATAACTTGATAATATGTTACTTATTCTAACTTCTGACACATATAGCTTCATAGAAGTATTTAACATATATGATCAGTGCTTTACATATTCAGTTATTCTACACAATCAGTCATTCAGCTTTCTCCTAGTGTTGCTCCTGTGCAGGCATACTCATCTTACACAGTATTTTTAACACAGGCTGGCATGTTTGCTGCAAACACTACATACATTTTGTGAAGAGAAAATTAACTGCTTTACACTTAGAAAATACTTTACACTGAGAGAATAGAAATTTTCTTCAACCAAAGTAGCAAAATACATTTTTTTAGCTAAATACACCAGGACAATAAATAACTGTAATGCATCTTTTTCAAACAGATTGTTCAAAGTAAGATTCAATAAATTCAGAGCTGGGCTCATCAAAATTTAGCTTAAGAATATTTTGCAGTACCTCATGTATTTCATTTCAAAATGGCAAAATTTTGTGACAGTCCTAAAAACAATGAATGATTGTACCTTTATCTTTTTTACATTTGAAACGCAAGACTGTTGCATTGGCAAACATTTTCCTAATACGTATTGGTGTAGGATAGATCTATTAAAAAATTAAAAATTACGCTCATTGATCCCAAGAGAGGTACATTTCGTGTATATATTATCACATACAATGTCACAGTCATTTGCTTCAATAGTTTGACCAATATCCTTCTCCCAAACATCTTTAAGTCCTTGCCAGGCAAAAATGCAATAGACTTATTTCACACGGCCGCCATTTTAAACAGCGAAATTAAGGCTGCGTTGGAAAGAAACCCGAAAATATCACCTGAGTCACACAGGAATGTTGTGTACCTGGCTGTATATCTTATCAGCAAATAGAAAGTGACACACATTTATCATTTCACCGCCTTCTGAGTGACCCGAAGGTCCGTTCTGAATGAGTAGTGAAAATAAAAAGACATATTGGACCTCATTTTCAGCTAAGTTAAGGGTAATGGCACTAGTTTTTTTAACATTTTTTCACCAAACACACATTTTCGATGTCATTCATCAAACTCAAGTTCTCATTCTTTCACTATATTAGACTTGTCATAATACAAAATTTCGGTACTGAAATGTAAAAAAAAAAACCATCCATTTCCCGTAAACATTTAAGCACGGTGTTCTTAAGATGGCGTTCTTAAACATCGCTGACTTGCTATGGTGTTTACATGCTTAACAGAAATGACTGTGATTGGCCTTGAAGGTCATCAGTTCACCACACTTTATCGATGTTTACCTACCTATAAGAGCGGTAAGCACATAGTATTGAGCACTGGTCAATACTATGGCAAATCAGCGGAGTTTAAGAATGCGCTTAGCGGCACTTAAATGTTAGTTGCAAATGGACGTTTTTAAAACTTTAGTACCGGAACAATACAAGGGTGTGCTACAGGACTGCATTTTTCAATTGCTCACTGGGTTACATAGGCTGAAGCAGGGACGCGTCCTCGCAGTGTTCACATGCTGCCATGAACTCAAGCCTAGGAGGACACTTAAGCGTGTTACTCGTAAAGAGATTGTGATGTTGTTTGATGCCTAATATGCTTTTAATATTTAATTTGTTTAAAGTAAACTGAGTGATATTAAAGTGATATTCAGACCATATCTGTATTTTGAATTCGCTGTAACAGCTGGAGGTTTGTTGTACACAGCATATTGTTGCAATGTTTACATTGCTGATCCTATACTTCCTGCTTTGTTCCAACCTCAGCCTCGCGTTTTAAAATGGCGGTTGCGTGAAAATAAGCGTATTGTTGTACAAAATGTCATATATCCTTGTTATCAATATTTTTAAACAAGATGGATTCAGAAGGGGATATTCTATCTCAGTTGTTTTGGTTCTCAGCTCTCTTTTGTCCAACTTTGGTTTTAAAATGCCGCAATTGTAGATATTTAAAATAATTGGATTTTGGAACTTTTATATTGATCTACAATCTGTTGGAAAGACTTTATGGTGCCCTCTAAAAATAAACAAGGTATTTGAGAGATCTCAGTTCCAGTCATGCTGAAAAAACAGTGTTTTGCAATGTTAAAGGCATATTAGGATTAAAAGAAAGTGGGGAAAACAAGGAGAAAGGGGCAGAAAACTGAAACTCCATTGAGAATACTGTGAAATCATTGTTCATATTTTAAAGCCATGGTGCGGGAAAACGAGATTTAATGCAGTGCTTCGTGTACATTCTGAGATCCATTGTATATCGTATATTAATCAGGCAGTGAAGATCATTGATTTGTAGAGAAAACCAACCTTAAACAACGCTGTTTTATAACTGCACACAGTACACCGGAAGCAATTTACTGGGGTTTACAAGCTGAGCACACTGTAAGAAATCTGAAATGTTGTTCTGGTCATTCTAAAACTCCTTAATTATTTCAGTATTAGTTGTATTAAATTATTATTTACCTCCAGATTAGTCAAGAGCGTCATTGTGTGTAAGCATTTTACTCCTGAGGCGTGGGGAATGATTTTAACTGCTATTAAACTGATCTTAATCTTGCAAATTAAACAAAATTACAACAAAACAAAGAAAGAATACTATAGCCTACTTGATAAGTCATAACTATTATATATCCAAAAATGAATAAAAGTGATAAAACAGTTTTCATTATCTCTAATTTGAAATAATTATCGCAAATAAAACTGACACAAGATTTTAAAGCTGCAGCACTTTGCTTTATTCTACCGCGCAACACAGAGTAGACGCGCAGTACAATCTGAAGCACAGACAGCCTTACTGTCCTTCTCGAAACCACAGATACTGGCAGTGCTCTTATCAAACTAAACACTATTAACTGTTTTGTGAAAAGAGAAAGAGCTACTAGATGTCCTGCCCTGTCTTCATATTTCAGCAGAGATTGTCAAACATTAAATATAAATGCACATGTCAGAGCACTTCACTGAACCTTTAGGGGCCGTTCACACCTGAGACGCTCACTAAAGTCATTCAGATGTTTAAAACAAGCAGGTCTAAAAACATTTTAGATTTTTTTGTTGAAATTTGGCTTTTCCATTAATTGTTTGGCATGCCGTACTGCAAAATGTGCTTTAATACAGGGTGATGGACACCCTGACATTGACTGGATGTATGTGTGTGTTTCTCCTCAGCCTTTGAAGTCTTTGTCTAAGGAGCGGCCTTTACCAAACATTTTCAACCTGTACACGGTCCTCACTGTGCTGCTGCAGTTTGCGGTGCACTTCTGCAGTCTGGTGTACCTCTACAAGGGAGCGCAGACCAGAAGCCCACCCAGGTATGAACACTAGAGGGTATCATTCACCACAGATTTTGGGGCACGTGGGATTTTACAGTTACAAACTGGCTCTGCTTTTTAAGCTGAGCAGTTGCTGGTTGATGGATGGAGGATGACTTTTATTCTGTTTTTTCCCTTTTTTGTTAATTTATTCATTTTATTTCACAACAACAAAAATAAAATATCCTTGTGATTTTATTAGTGCTGTCAATCGATTAAAAAAATTATCTAATTAATCGCACCTTTTTTAAATTAATCGCGATTAATCGCATTTAAATACTGAAACTTGTAATTTTGGCTATTCAAATGTAAAATTTATGTAAACGCAAGACAAAAACTATTTAAATTCAAAATATAATTGTTTATTAGAATTTTTGTTTAACTTGTCACACAGATTTCTTCACGTAAACAATACACCCACAATAAACCATCAAGATCCTGGCTTGACAGCCATATTTATTAACGAAATTAAAACACAGGCATGTTAAAGACATTTAAATTTCAAAACAATCAATGCCAATAAAGAAAAAATTGATTTCCATGTTGGATTCTAAGTGGATTCAAATTTGCTTAAACTAAGCTTTCTGAAGTATTACTGTATTTCACAAGGATTCTGACACAATAACGTGAAGCATACGCTTTCGTTGCGTTTAATGAGGAAACACGCTAAACTTGATAGACTCTTGCTGAGAGGCAGAGTAATGCCCTGTCTTTGACAGCTCGCAACTTCACCAGAGACTTTCTGAGTACATTCACATAAGACACCAAACCTCCAATTTTATTATGATTAAGATTATACTCTTATTAAAAGTCTACCGTGTAAGCAGCGATTTTATTACCTTAAAGGAATTCCAAGTCACGAAATGCGGAGGATTTTCTTTCTGTTTGCCATGCGGTATCAACTTACAACAGAAGTCGAAAGTTAAAAATGAAACACCCGAAATTGCATGAAAATCTGGATAACCTGGTGATGCGACTAATTGTTTTACACTGAAACTTGCCTTCAAAAAGTGCTTCCTTGGTCTTATCCACATTTCTTGAATGTTGAACACACGTCCACCACAACAGGAAGTAAAAAAAAAACCTGCAACTGCGTTAATTGCGTTAATTTGTATTAACGTATTAATTATTTCAAATTAATCGCATGTGTTAACGCACTAATTTTGACAGCGCTAGATTATATATATATCCTTTAGTTTAGAGCATAGGTCTCAAACTTCCTAGAGTTGTGCTCTGCACAGTTTTGCTCCCCCTATCAAACACAGCTGATCCAACTAATGAAGGTCTTCATTATGGCTCTTGATTATTTTGATCAGCTGTGTTTTTAAAGGTTGGTAAAACTGGAGAGCTACAGCCATCCCGTTTGGGTTTGAGACCTATGCTCTAGAACAGGGGTGGGCAAACTCAGTCCTGGAGGGCCGGTGTCCTGCACAGTTTCGCTCCAACTCTAATCAAACACACCTGCTTATAGATTTCTAGTGATCTTGAAGACACTGATTGGCATGTCAGGTGTTTTTGATTAGAGTTGGAGTTAAACTATCCAGGACACCGGCCCTCCAGGACCGAGTTTGCCCACCCCTGCTCTAAAAGCATTTGGTCATGTTGGTTAATTTCTATACTTTTATATTTACTCTCTATATACATAATATTTAAATGTGAAGGGAAATACAGTAAAAACAGGAATAATGTGAAATATTTTTGCAATTTGAAGTACTTGTTTTCCAAGTTAAAATATTTTAAAATGTAATTTATTTCTTTGATGGCAAGAACTGAATTTTCAGCATTACTGCTGTGTTTAGAAATCATTGTAATATGATGATCTGCTGCTCAAGAAAGCAGTGATTATTTGAGAAATCATGTAACACAAGTGTCTTAACTACACATTTTTTATTGATTTAATTTGTATAATTAACATTAACATCTTCAGATCAGTGCATGTCTGTTCCTGATCTTTTATTTTATTTTATATATGTGACATTATTGTTAACATTTGTGTCAGATTTGCACAGCATTTGCAGTCTGGCTTGATGTTTGGCTTCTCTCTGTGTTTTCCTCCTGCAGGTCAGAGCAGTTTGTGGACCTGTACAAAGAGTTTGAGCCCAGCCTCATCAACAGTACTGTATACATCATGTCCATGGCCATGCAGATGGCCACCTTTGCCATTAATTATAAGGTACTTTCATAGTAATTACACCAATTACATGTATTAGATTTACATAAGTGTGAAATTATTATTTTCAGTGCTTTTGGTACAATCTTATTTCTTTTCCATCTCAACGAACACTCAGAAAATGACTACTTATAATAAACACTTATTTAAAATGAGCTGAAGCAACACAATTCTTGAGTTTTTTTTAAGAGGACAACATGATTGTATTTTGTTCAGTCCACTTAAATTTGCTAAAACAGTGGTAAGCACTGACGCCTTATAGCAAGAAGGTTGCTGGTTCAAGTCTCAGCTGAGTCAGTTGGTATTTCTGTGTGGAGTTTGCATGTTCTCCTTGTGAAGGATTTAAGCATTTTTTACAGGCAATAATTCACCCAAAACTAAAATGGTCATCATAGAAGCTTTACAGTTGAGCACATACTGTAGGCATTTCTTGAGGTGTCAATATTAAATGTGCATGCATAAGTTTTTCAGGATCATCTACTATTTTGGTATTTTAAGTTTTGTTTTTTAATTTGTACAATTTTCATTTTTCTTAACGTTTTAGTAAATTGAATGCTATTGTGCTATTTTACTTTTTCCTGTTGATCTTTTTTCAGTTTTAATCATTTTTGTCACTAACCTTGATTTATTTGGGCCATGTCTACATGTACACTGTTTGGGGGGAGAAACTCGGTCAAGACAATAATTCACTGTGATGCATGTTGAGGGAACACCAAACCAACAGGTGGCGATAAACGCCTTTTATGCTGGGTTTACACTAGGGCTGCACAATGTCCACATCCACAATAGTCAAATCGCAGCATCTAAGTTGGGATTATTTAGTTTAGGATTTTATATATATATATATATATATATATATATATATATATATATATATATATATATATATAGAGAGAGAGAGAGAGAGAGAGAGAGAGAGAGAGAGAGAGAGAGAGAGAGAGAGAGAGAGAGAGAGAGAGAGAGAGAGAGAGAGAGAGAGAGAGATTATTTGGCCACAGTTCAAAATGCACAACATTTGTGGAGTTACTGCAGAGTTTAACCATAAAGGATCATAACTTTTAACCATAAAAGTACTAATTTGCAAGTTTTTAAGCACTAAAACAGACACGCAAGCAATTTTACCATATGTAGCTTTAATAGAAAATCATTTTATTGAACTATATAAGGAGTAAAGTCTTAAGTTTCTGCACCTAAACCTAATTTGACTACATCCTGAAAGCCATAAAGCACTGTTCATTTCACTTTTATATGTGCTCTATCGCATTTAGCTCTGCTTGTCACTTGTTTATTACATTTTATGCATAATTATTTCTCCTACAAAATCCTGCCAGTTAATCAAAAATTAAATAATTGTTTCCGGACATAACTATTCAATTCATCTGGTAAAATTGTATTTATATTGCAACATATATTGCAGAAATACAAAATATTGTAAGTCAGATTTTCCAATATCGTGCAGCACTAGTTTACACCAAACACAGAATGAAGTTTTTGCTCAAGTAAACTGCATACAAGTCAATGCAAACTTGAGAATAAAGGCAGATTATCATTTATGCCACAAATGCATGGAATTTGCCTCAACCACGTCTTTCACATTTGATGTGAACCCAGTCACAGTAGTGTTAGCCAATCAGAAAGGAGAAAACAGCGCAAACACTTATGTCATGAGGCCAAAACTCCTGTAACAAGAATTTCAGAAAATCGTTTTCAGAAAGCTTCGGTTTCAGTCACCTAATGCTGCGTTTTTTTTTGTGGACAAACAGCCAAATCGCATTAAAAAATGGTAGTTTTCAAAATACCCATGTTTATGTGGACAGAGCCTTCGTTGCCAGATCAACACTCTAATTTTCAGAGCCTCTGATGTTGGAGCAGATTGCCTTTATTTAGTTTTTATTCCAGTCCTTTTTAACAAATTTTTATGGTTTTAGTTTTTGTGTAACTCTCTGGTTTTACTTGTCATCCAGGGTCATCCGTTCATGGAGTCTCTCACTGAGAATCGGCCCTTGCTGTGGAGCATCGCTATATCAGGTCTCGCCATAGTTGGACTGTTGACAGGATCTTCACCTGAGTTCAACGAGCAGTTTGCCTTAGTGGACATTCCAACTGAGGTATGAATCCAGCTCAGCACAAACCCTTACTCATTACAATGACAAAGGAAAGATTTAGAAGTGGAAGACAACGACGAGCAGAATTCACAATCATGTTTTCTTTCCTGTTGAGATATATGGCAGTCAACATTTGAAGCGGATCAAAACCTTTCATCAAAGTTGTCCTGAAACACCCAATATTGTCTTAGGACAGTTTCAAAAAACTTGAAATGTTGATTATTGAATATCCAAGTGTATGAGCTCGTCTTACAAGAACATTTGATTTTGTTATTTGGAAACTGATTGGAATGTTATAGTTTGCTATTGGTGGATTTCAAGTAAGTGACAGGTTGATCTTGCCCTCACACCAGTAGACAGCAATCAGAGATGATGTCGAAAGTGGAAAATGAAGCCTTTTTATTTAAAATTGACAAAAGCAAATTCATTTAAATATGATGTGCACAGATTTAAAAAAAATAGTAATAAATTCGGTAATAGTCAATAAAAAGATATTAATAGTCAATTTTGACTTCATAGTGACTTCAAAGCATGCACTAATTCAATTCATTTCTATGGTGACATAAAACATTGTTGGATCTTTTGTTTATTTATTTAATTATTGGGGTCATTTGACTTAAACTATGAACATAATATTATATGGGACATGAAAATAAGTCACAACTTTTATTCGGTTCAATAATGTCATTGTTGAGTGAAGTAACGCAGACACACAAAAGTGTTTGTGTATTTTGAATAATTTATTGGGTTTTTTTGTAATGATAATGAAACTGTATTTTTCTGAGTGTTTTTTGTTCTGCTGCCTTGGCTCTTTTAGGCTTATAATCGATAAATAATATAAAAATTAAAGACATTATAAAGTATTATTTATGCTGATTATATATTAGGCACTGTGTACAGCAATTATTTTGAATAAAAAAAAAACGAATTTATTTACTGTAACAATTGATATTCGCGCGACTCATTCAGCAGAATGTTACTTTAAAATTCAAATCGCGGCATATTTTAAACAATAAAGTCTAATGCTACGTTCACACCAGACGTGGATGAAGCTCATCAACATGTCAATGCAAAGACATGAATGGGCTTCCTGCAGGAATGAGGCAGCACGAGTGATGCGATTAGCTGAAATGAGTGTTTCTCGCAAGTTGAGTGTTTTGCGCGTTTGACGCAAAAGCGCTCAGTAGGAAAATCTGAATTTCAGCAGAAATTCGCACCATGGTAACCAATCAGGAGCTTGCTCTTGTAGGGGAGTGATGTATGACGTAATGCTTGTTGTTGGTGTCCCGAGCGGAACTTCTCTTGTCGACTCCAGGCAACAGCTCATCAAACTGGGCTCGGCTCAGTTGGAAGCTCCACTAAAAGCCTCCGTCATCCAGCTAGTTTCTGAAGGAGTTCATGAACTCACAAAGCTGGGTGCACCTCTGAAAGGATCTAGTGCTCACTCAGACATAAAGTACATGAAGCACCGCACACTCTCAATAAAATCCATGTTAGCCATTTAGCTTTGAAGCTAGAGTCACTGGGTAGACAGAAGCCCTGTCCAGGACATGAATTAGCGTCTGTTGTGAATAAAGCGAGTAAACTCAATTTTCACGTGTCTATTTGCGTACGATTTATCTGTGTGTGTCGTGTCCGGTGTGAACACGGCATTATTCTATAAGATATGCCACTTGTTTATTTTCTGTATGCTATATAGTCCATGTATTGTTGTTTAATGTGTTGATGTGTTTCTTCTCTCTGCAGTTTAAGTTAATAATAGCCCAGGTCCTTGTTGTGGATTTTGTCGCCGCCCTGCTGGTGGACCGAGTGTTGCAGTTCCTGCTGGGCAAAGGAACCCTGCGGTTGCCGAAATGAACTGTTTTTTGCCGACAGTCACCAGAGCAGCTGCTGCCCCTCGTGACCAGACTGTGAACGGGCTTTACAGGAACACGGTTCTGGACCGCTGGCACACACGGACGGGCGTGAAACTCAATACTGTACACACCCCAGTGTTCCCTCTCTCTTCCCAGTCTCTGTCTGCGCTCTCTTTTAATACTCTCACTTCATTTTCTGTCTACTGACGTCTTTAACCACCCCTCCGCTCTGACGGCCAACAAAACGACAGTATTGTGCTGAGGTGCGAGTGTGTGTGCGTGTGTGTGTAGTGCGGGTGAAGCACACGGCTGTGACGGGGCATTCTGAAGAAGTGTTTCTTTTTTTTGCTTTTGTTTTCATCATTTTGTAAAAAGACGATTCTCAGAGAGACTTATAAATGACCATAAAACAGCTGTGCTTGTGTTGTTTGTTTTTGTGACTACTGTATGCCAAGACTTTAAGCAACTGTGAATGAGAAAACAACAAATTGTGTTGGTTTCATGACAGGCAAGGGAACTTAAAGTACATTACTTTACAATGTCAGGGGTGTTGAACACAGTTTCTTGAGGGCCGCAGCCCTGCAGACTCCAACACACTGTAGTTTTTAAAGCCTGAGGGACATACTTTAATAATTTTTCTTGCTGAGGCTGAAAGTGTAAATCATTTAGTCTTCATCTTCTCTCAAAGGCTTTCGGACACTTCGCTGCAGAGCCACGTGGGTGGAGCTCACCTCCAATGAGGGCGAGCTTGAGCTCCAGCTCCTCCTCCTATTTACCTTATTCTTCGCCGATGAGCGGGCGCAGCCATTTGAATCTTTTTGGCTCGAGACTTCCGGTCTCATTCACTTCCATTCATTTTTAGACATTAAAAACTGCTCATTTCGCTGTTTGATGTTGCAAATTGATATTTCCTTATTATATTATTATACTTGGTCTGTATAGTCATGCAAACATTTGTTTGAAGAGCAAGTAGTTTGACCATTTTCTGCCATTTATTGTTCCTTGTGATTTCTCCCATAGCAGCTGAATCGGAAGTTCTAAAACAATCGCGAAAACAGGCGCACTTCCGCATTTTAGAATAAGCTGTTTTAATAATAGTTATAATTCCTTACATATATGGTGCTTTTCGGGACACTCAAAGCTCTTTACATATTACTTGTAGAAGTGCAGCAAGGAGGAGCTGGAGCTCAAGCTTTCCCCCATGCTGGAGCGCAGCTCTGCCCATGTGGCTCTGCAGTGAGTACCACTTGGCTCACCACATTAGAGTCAGAAAAACAACTGGAAACTTAAACAGTGTTTGTCTGATAAATAAGGAAATTACCATAGGGTTCAGATTGGGCCAGTCAGATTAATAAAGCTAAATTAACGTCTATTATATATTTTAAACGGTAACTCAAATATTATTACTTTTTTTATTTGTTTACTCATAATTCAGAAGATAAATATTAATATGCATCTTGCATTACTTGTAGCCAACATGGTCTTCACCTATATTTGTGCTTTTTAAGCAAAAGGTGTCACATTTTCTGACCCTTCACATGGCAAATAGGCTGCTGACAAACAAGCAATATTTAATGTGATGTAAATACATAGGTTTAACATGTTTGCGTTTTCTCCTGTTTTTATTTACTAAATGTGTGGTTTAAATGTAATTCCTTTGTTTTGTATAATATTAGACTTTTATTATTATTATATTGTTATTATTATTAGAAATTCAACAAACTGAAAGTTTTCTCTCAAGTGGTTCCTCTCTAATTCCAACATTAAAAATATATTTTGTGTTCAGAATAAAAACAAAACTCAGATTTAAAACCAGTAATATATATATTTTTTAATAATGTTTTCTTATTACAACTCATTCATTTAATTTTCAACTTAGTCCCTTTGTTAATCTGGGCTTGCCACAGCGGAATGAGCTACCAACTTATCCAGCATATGTTTTACGCTGCGGATGCCCTTCCAGCTGCAACCCATCACTGGGAAACACCCACACACTTTCATTCACACACGGACATTCACCTGTACCACATGTCTTTAGACTGTGGGGGAAACCGGAGCACCCAAAGGAAACCCATGCCAAAATGGGGAGAATATGCAAACTCCACACAAAAATGCCAACTGACCCAGTTGACGCTCAAACCAGCAACCTTCTTGCTGTGAGGCAAGAGCGATACCCACTGCGCTACCGTGCAGCCCGGAATATTATCATAAAATGTTAAATAATTTTAACCCGTTCTGACCCTGTGTCCATTTTAATAGACACCACATGTCAGGTAATGTTGTTGTTGCTGTTATTGCTGTTGTTGTTGTTCCAAGGCCTTTCACCAAATTTAAAGGCCTGCTGTCCATAACATTGGCCTTTTGTCATCCAATGAAGCAGCTGTAAAGCTCTGCCTGTGGTAGTCTGAGGAATATCCACTGGGATGAAGAGGAGCATAACAGCACTTTGTTTCAAGCACAGAAGTAAGCAACATTTTCTGTTTTTATTCACAGTTGTTGATATGTTCATAGATCATCAGTTTATACACCACACAAGCCTGCAGAGCAAAAGCATTGCTTGTTTTTATTTTCGCCTCTTCTTCATACCGCACACAAAAGTTTTGATTTTGACCAATCCAGTGAGCTTTACACTGAGTATATGAAAATATAATTTATTCGTGTCCACATGAACGTACACCTTGTATAAATGAATGATTTTTCCTTATGCCATGTTTGATATAAGGTTATCGACTGTAATCTAACACGACTACAGATCCCAAAAGCCATCGCGGTGGAAATGAAGGTGGGCGGGTCTTATCAGTCGACGCGCGGGCTTTGAAAGAAAATGGCGGAGCCTCTGAATCAAGAAGGCTACGAGACGTGAGTGTTTTATTATGATTACATTTTATGTTTACCGGTGACATTTGATTGTATCCTTGCGCAAACGTTGTCCTTTAATAGAAAAGAAGTCTCCCCAGTTTTAAAATAATGTTGATGTTGTCAAACTGCTAACGTTAAACTTGACTATACTAGGAACTAAAACATGTTCTTAGATGTTTTGTCTATCAAAGCAAGCTGTTTACTTTGTTGCATGTGCTGCATTTTAAATGACCGTCTACTCTCTCTCACAGATGTGATGCCAGCAACATCAATACTATGGTAAATCTTTTTATGCTTTGTTATTTATGTACGTTAACTGTTGCCATTTAACGTTAAAGCTTTGGAGTCAGTGTCAAAAATCGTTTTGAAATAATTAACGTTACATCTATTCAGCAAATGAGCATATTATAATAACACATGTTCTATTCTATATTTATGTACGTTATATTCATAATAATTTATATACATATGATTTCTGACGGAATGTGTGACACCGATGAGAAGATTAATAATGCTCAAAATTGAGCTTCTCATCACAGAAATAAATATATTTTTAAGTATATTAAAACAGAAAACAATTATTTTAAATTGTATTAATGTTTTAAAGATTATTTTATTTTTTATCAAACAAATACAGCCTTGGTGATCATAAGAAACATCTTCCACACCCCAAACAGTTGAACAATATTTTGTAGTTTTAGAAACTTGTAACTAATGGTCACAACATTTTTCCACGTCTTTATAAACATGTTAGGTTGCCTTTAATGTCACCAAAAAACATAAACAACCCCTGCCTAAGTGTATAAAGCTTGCTGTTTTGTGTTTACATTTACTTACATTGTATTATTTGCAGACACACGTCTAAAGTGGCTAACAAATGAGAATAATAGATGTAAACAAAAGTGAAAGTATGTAATTGATATGAAAATTTCTTGTATAAAACTATATAAATAAATGTATTTAATATAAAAAATTGATTTATTTTTAGAAGGTCAGATCATGTTTTTGTTTTTATTAATTGGGAAAGAATAGTAATTAGAAAATCGAATGTTAATGCTAGAAATTTTTTCTTTAAATTTTCTTTTCTTGAAGAAAACATCCTCAATTTCTGTGAATATCTGAATTTAATATTTCTAAAACATATAAGAAATTTATATATATATATATATATATATATATATATATATATATATATATATATATATATATATATATATATATATATATATATATATATATATTAGGGATGTAACGGTATTGTACCGTCATACCGCAATATAAATTTTTTTCGATATTACCAAAGTCGCATGACTCGGTAAAACTATAGGTCTTCTGAGAAAATTTGCTCAGGCGAATGAAGCGAACGGGAGGTAGCGAAAACTACAATTCCCATCAGCCCAGGGGTGGCCATCATCCCTTGCGGTCTGTTGTCGCTACAGATACAGTAATGCGGAAATGGAGTGTGCTGCTAGAAGCGGGCATCAAAAAGAGCTGGAAATGGTCGACCTGAAGCGGGTGTTGTCGCCGCACGCGTACTGAATAGCGGTGTTGTCGCGCACGTTCTGATCAGCTGTGTTGTGGCGCGCATACTGAATAGCTGTGTTGTTGCGGTGTTCTGGACAGCTGCGTTGTACTGTAAAGCGGGGAGGGGGGGTCGAGCGCGCATACTCAAGAGCGGTGTGGTCGCGCGCCTACTGAAGGGCGGATTGATTGATGCAGACATGAGACCTCTCTCACTCATGGCTTGTCCTCTCAAGTGGGGGAAAGACAATGCACAACGTTACCCACTGCTGTCAACCTGGGCCAAGTCATATCTCTATGTCACAGAAACCTCAGTCCCAAATGAGAGGGGTTTTTTCTGTTGCAGGGGACATTTTAAATGCCCAGAGATACCAGCTTTTACCAGATTATATTTATATGATAATTTTCCTTTAAAGCCATCTCTATCTAAGTGAGTGAGTGATTAAATGTTGAATGTGATGAGTTTTCAACAATACTAAATTGAAACTTAATTTTTTTACATGGTTTAATATTTTTTTTGTTATTAAAATTGAAGTTCCTGTTTCAAAGCTTACAGATAGATGGCTAATTTGTATGTCATTGACACTTTTGGCACTTTTTTGGAGTATTTTCATAAGTTTTGTTTTTTCCTGTAAATGATTTAATAAATACCGTACCGTGACATTCATACCGAAGTATTACCGTACCGTGAAATTCTGATACCGTTACATCCCTAGCGGATATAAAACCAACTTTACCTAAATAATTTTATCTAGTCCATGACACTGCAATGCAAGTTTATTCTGTAGCACATTTTATACACAATGCTAATTCAAAGTACTTTACATAAAGAATGAAAAACTATCAGAAAAATCATCACAACAATAAAAACAAGGACATTTTATATTTTAAATTAATTTAGTCACCTAAGAACAGAACTGAAATTGATTATACAAAAAATAAAGTGGGGCTAGTTTGGACGTAGCACAGTGCTCATTTAGCAAATCCACAGATAAACAATATGCTAATTGTGGCCGTTAATGTAAAGTTAAC